CCTACTTCTACAGCTGTGCCCTGGTTTCACAAAGATTTGTAAGATAAGAACAATTGCTCTCAATTCCCCCAAAGAATCGGGTTGTAACATAAAGAACAACATAGGTTGACCTACTCATCCAAATTACATCATCCTTAACTTGCTTTATTCCCTCTGGGTACATAGTTTGATTTTAGCTGAGGGGGAAAGACCTACAAAAAAGAAAAGAAAATTCCTGTCAGGCTCTGAAGATCAGCTTCCAGTCTAGCGAAATTTCTGATGAAAAATTATTAAATAATTTCAAATATCTCATTAGGTTTCAGCCAAAACAAACAGTAAACATTTCTGGCAGATTTAAGCAACTACATGATATTTTTAACAAACTTCCCCCAAATCAAATTCTAAGTGAAGTCTCTCTGACCTCCAACTAACTTTGGGATTTTCCAGAGGATTCCTGGAACATCTTAAAAGACTTGTTCCCTTTCTTTATAAAAAGAGAAACGTTCATCTAATTAGGGTCATTGGATGTGTTGAATTACCTGGGAAGCATCAACAACTAAGAAGGAATACTAAACCTTCTTAGGTTATATTTGCATTGATATATTTATTAATGTGTCCCCGAATTATATAAAATTCCTAAAAACCTGATATGGTCCTGCTGTAATGTTACCAGTCATAATTCCAGTTACCATATTTGTGTGATAACCACAGCCAAATGTGAGAGGAGCTAAAAGAGCAAGTGACTCCGTACAAGGTCGGCTGTTTTAGTTACTGATTACCCATACATAGCCAAGGTTGTTTAGTGGAAATACTTTCTCCTAGTTCAAAGAAAAAATGATACTGGTTCATTGTCGTTCAAATGAGACTAACATGAATTTTTAGAAAATAAAGACCACTTGAAACCCTACTACCCAGAGATAACTAGTCTAGCTGCACTGGCGGACAACCGTCACGCCATTGTTGTATAGGGTTGTACACACTGTTTCATCAACAGGCCCATACTAGATCTCCTATTCTGTGAGTTAATTTTTTATTCAACAAAACATTATGAACCCCTCTCCATGTTGACGTCTATGGATTAACACTATGCTTTTTTAATGACTGCATAAAAGCTCATCCGTTCCTATTGGTGAATATTTCCATTTCTTCCAAATTATAACTTTTGGCAATTATAAACAAGGCCATGGCCAACATCATGATGTTGAGTTATGAGAGGCTGCAAGATGGAGAGCTTGAGACTTGAGGCTTCCTCTGAATTTAAACCTCAGGCCTGACCTTACAGGTTTTATGATTTGGGAAAAATTACTGTAACTTTCTGAGCCTCAGCTTCTTCATTTGTGAAGTGGTGACAGCAATATCCTCTCCACAAGATCGGTTCAACAATGCACAGTGTCCAAAGACCTAGCGCAGTGCCTGGGTAGAAGAGACGCTCAGGAAAACTACTCATCTGTTCATAAGGACACATAAGTGACAGTCCTGTCCTTACCCCTGCAGCCAGTCTCAAGCTCAGCTCCCCAAAAGTTGTCTCAAACGCGCCCTGCCCTGGGGGCCCACTCCCCACAGCAAGGAGGTGCCCTGTGGGGCCGTGTCCAACGGCACTTCCACAACGCTGCGACCAGGGAGTGTGAGCGCATCGCCCATCGGGCTCCCAGGGCTGTGCCCATGATGTGACACCACAGGGATCCTGTCTGAGGGTCTGCAAACCACCCGCTGCTGCGTCCTTTCACAGAAAACAGAGTTTGGGAGGTGACAGGCTGACGAACGTGGGAAGGGAGTGCTGGGGAGGATGGTGGCGGTGATGCAGATGGTGATGTTAACGTGGGAGTCGGTGACAGCGGGAATAATGAGAACAAGAGACCCGTCAGCTTGGTGGCAATGAGGGTGCCTGAGGTGGCTGAGGTGTAGCAGCGAGGCTGTGCTTGACCCTGGTGCGGATAAAAAAGATGAAAGCAATACTGGTTATTTCAAACTGGCGGAGGTGAAGACAGCAATGGGGACAATGACACGGACAGAGCGGGTGAACCTGTGCCTGCAGTCACGTCGGGGGGCCATAGATAAGATGAGGGCCCCCGGGTGGCAGACAGCAAAAGGGGTGAGTAAGAAGTCCAGCTTGATGGTTCCAGCTCCAGGCCACCACCAGGCCAGCCCGGAGGAAGCTGACCGTCACCTCCTTTACAGAGACCAGGCGAAGAGAAGCTGAGATGGTGCCCGCACACGCCTGGGTCTTGACTGGAAGCTGGCTCTGACGCCACGCCGGCCCCGAGGCCCCGTCCGGACCCTCCTGGAGGCCTCTGGGGCTGCATCAACAGAATGGCTGCGCTCCCCATCTCTTCTACCCAACCGTCGATCAGAGGGCGCCTCAGCTGTTTCCCTGTCTTGGCACATACCTACTGCATGTCATGTGGTACATGCAGACAATGGAATACAGACTACTATCGACTCCTCAGCCACAAGAAAAGATGAAATACTGCCATTTGCGGCAACATGGCTGGAGCTTGAGACTATCATGCTACGTGAATAAGTCAGAAAAAGTTAAGAACTGTATGATTTCACTCATATGTGGGACATGACACTGAAAGCAGCCAATGAACAAACCAGGAAAACAAACAAAAACTCAAACAGAGATGGACGGCAGTGCGGTGGTTCCCAGAGGGAAGGCTGTAGTGGGGGGTAGTAAAGGGTAAAGGTCAAATATATGGCGACAGAAGGAGATTTGACTTGGGGTGGTGGGCACACAATGCAATACACAGATGATGGAGCATGCAATTGTACACTTGAAACCTATGTAATCTTATTAACCAATGTCACCCTAATAAATTTAACTTAAAAAAGGAAAAGAAGACGAGGTGGCCTAAAAGCTTCCTCCAAGGACTTTGGGCCCATCCTCAAACCTTGCTCACAGCCTCCTCTGCTCTTGTGGATGATCAAACCTGCTTCAGCCCCTCAACCCCCTGCCTCTTTCGGGCCCTCATTGTCCTGTGACACAGGACACAATTTCCCCCGTCACCAGAGGGTCCTCCTCATGGAAGCCAGACTGAGCAGAAATTTGGGGACCTTGTATGTCTGTCCCCAGCACCTGCCTGCTGGTCACGCCTGGGGAAGGTCCTTCCTGTCCAGCAGGAACCATGCCCTGGAGGAGGGCGCAGAGGGAACCGTGGTCACCCAGGGCGTGACTCCCCTCCTACCCAGAGCAACCCGGGAAGAACAAGGGTTTTGCTTTCTTGAGGGGTGCTAAAATATATACAATAACGTTTACCTTTTTAATTACTTCTAAGGGTTCAATTTACTCATTGGGTGGATTCACACTGTTGTGCTACCATCACCTCCAGAACCTTGTCATCTTCTCACACTGAAACTTTCTACCCATCAAAATGAACTCCCCCTTCCCCCCCACCCCCCAAGCTCCTGGCAACCCCTATTTCTGTTTCCGCCAATTTGAAAAACCCTAGGGATCAAGTGGAATCATAGAGTATTTGCCCTTTTGGTCTGGCTTATTTCACTTGGCATAATGCCCTGAAGGTTCATCCATGTTGTAGCATGTGCCAGAATTCCCTTCCTTTTTAAGGTTAAGTAATGGTCCAGTGTTACATAATTTTTGGAATGCCAGGGTGGGGGTGGGGGGGTTCTGTCCTTACCCACCTCCTCCACTGTCCTCTCCTCTTGTCCTCCACCCAGTCCAGCCCCGGCCCCAAGGAAAGCCGCTGCCCACATGAGAAGCCAGAACCTGGGCTGCCAGGCAAGACCCTGGGCAGTGCTGCTGGTGTCCTTCTTGTGTGCTCTCAACCCCACGCTCCTCTGATGTCCTGACGTCCCCTCTACTGGTCAGGTCATGTGAGAGCACATCCGGAAGAAGGTGCTGAGTAGCCCAACTTGCCCTGAGCTCAAGGTGAGAATGAACAGAGAAAGGTGAACTTTTTCCCTTTGTTTCCCGACTTCCTTTCACGCTCTTAACTGCTACTTAGAGATTTGAGCTCTGGCAGATGGTGTTTGACGGGTATTTAAAATGGTTTCTATTTTCGGATGCTTGTACAGTTTTAAAAATGAGTATTAAAAGTATTTAAAGTAAAAACAACACATACAATAAAGTGTTTAATTGGTAACTCACATCAATTCAGGAGGTGGACCTTCCATTGTTCTTATTTTAATTAAAACAAAATCAAGTTAAAATTGGTAAAATGTGAAATTAACTATTTTAAAGTAGCAATCCAGTGGAATGTGACTAATAAAGAATGACATTGTGCACCACAGAGACAGACAGACAGACACAAGAACGAAGCACCTATGCGCCAGGTCAGAACTAACCATCCTTTCTTCTCCCCTGCAAAGAAGAGTCAACTTTTCCCTGGGTTCACTGAACCGCAGCGCTTATTCCAATGTGCTTTAGTTTGTGTTTATCCCTCTCCGTCTCTAGGTTGTGAGCAGGGCGGGGACCGTGTCAAATGCGTATTTTGCAAAGGACGAAACAGATTTTAAGCTCCCAGCAAACAGTTAGTGAATTAATCATTGAATGCGTGCATGCCTCAACCCCGCCCCACACTCAGTCCAAAAGCCAGTCCTGGGGGTCCGCCTCCAACATCTAGCCCTAACTCCATCAACTTCTCACCACCCTTACTGCTACCACCCTATCGCCTCCTTATTGACCTCCCAGTGTCCAGTGTCCCTCCTTTCCTCCTATAGTCTAGTCTCTCCACAACAGCCAGGGTGATCAGCTATTTTCAGATCAGTTGTTCCCAAAGGGCTAGTCTTCCTATGGGATGGCAGGCTCATAGGTGCTTACTGCACTGACATACATGCACACATGTGAGAACACTACCAAAAAGGGCCACACACAAACCCATGAAGACAGGGGGGTCGGTTCCCAGGGCCCCTGAAAGAGGCAGAGGATTGCTCGTGTTCATGGTCAGGCATGTGCTTAAACACCCCCAGCCTAGCCCAGGGAGCTCTGGGGATTGCAGCCAGAGGAGGCCGGCGGGGGAGGAGCAAGCAGGCTGGCCGAGGTGGGAGGAGACCGGGGCAAGGTGGCTGGTTTGGTTCAGGGGCTAGAGCTCCTGCTCCGGGACAGGCGGTAAACCCTAGTCCCCAGCTCTCCCCAGGCCCCAAGGAGACAGGAGGCAAAGAGCCAAAGGAGCAGCCACTTTTTATTCCACTGTGGTCGATTCCATCTGCCACACAGTGCTAGAGCCCTGCAGTCCAGTGCGTTACCTAGGCCTGCGCCGTTTGGCAGGACTTTCCGGACCGTCTGCTTGTGCTCTCCAACCCGGCAGCCGCTTCCCTTCCGGTGCCGGGGCACTGCAATGTGGCTAGTACGGCTGAGGAGATGAATTCTTAATTTAAGTTCATTTAAACTCAAATGCCACACTTGGTCGTGCCCACTGCACTGCACAGCGCAGCCCTGGGCCCTGGCCTAGTCCAAGGCAGTTCAGTTCAAGAGCCAACTCCGGGGACAGGGAGTAGCAGAAACAGTCCTCGGGGTCACCAGCGCCCCTCCCCAGACAGAAGCAGCAGCGCGGCTGTAAAGGAGCCCGGCCTCAGAGAAGGGGGACGCCCCGGGCACGCCGGATAAGGTTAGCCAGCCTCTTGGCCAGGCCGTCCTTCTTGGGCTCCTCGATGTGGAAGGTCCGGGTGAGGAGATTGTAGAAGGAGCCGTAGCACACGGCCACCACTGTGCACGTGAGGCAGATGACGTTGTAGGGCATGCTGAAGTCCGGCGTCGGCAGGTTCACCAGCAGCGGCTCCGTGTAGAGCCGCACGAAGTAGCTGGAACTGTCGGAGACTGGGCACCTGGGGGCCAGGAAGGAGCAGTGAGGCGGGGGCCCCAGCTCTTCCCATCTCACCTGCTTCCGCCCTCGGGCCACACTTGGGCCAATGCCCGGCGGTAAGGATTTCCAAACCTTTCCAACAGAAGACATCTCAGACGAAGGCTCCATGCATGAAGCTGACAGAGCTGCCCTGCACAGGGCGCAGAGTGGGGCCCTCCCTCCGCCTGGCTGCCACTTCCCTAGCCTTCTGGTGGTCTCAGCCTAAAGGCCATCTCCTCAGAGAAGCCTCCCTGGACCTCCCGCCAGGTTACTCCCGGCACCACCCCAGCCCACGGCTCTTCCAGAAAGAACCCCCCAACCCCCCAGGCCAGCCTGAGGCCGGCAGCTGCGGGGCTGTCGTGTTCCCTGCCGGGCAGCCAGCACTCTCCGAAGTACCGGGCATTTGGTAAGCGCTCAACAAAACCTCTGTTAAGAGCATCAGTGACTAAACATGGGCTTTCAATACTGCTCTTCTTGCCTATTTATTCTTCTAGAAGCACTGCAGAATCATTTTATAAAGTCTGTATGAATACTACACGCCACTGGGACTTCCATTAACGTTGAGTTAAATCCCCACGTGGCTTGGGGAGGGGCCCCACGGAGCCCCAGCCTGCCCTGCAGGAACCAGGTCATCTGTGTTTATGTTCCCCGACCAAGGCAGCTGGCGTGACACTTACAGGCTGTTGAAGAGGGGACTCTCTTCCCAGTCCACGGGTTTGGCTGCCACCACGCTGGGCACGAGGGCACTGATGACAGACGGGCTGCAGAGAAGCAGCAGGCGTTCCATGAGCCATGCTTGCCACTGGCTCCCCACCCAGGCTGGCGGCAGAGGAGGCGGGTCGGGAGGGGTGGGGACAGCGTGGGGGGGGCAGAGCCCACCTGACATAGAAGCCGTGGTTGGGGTCCGGGGTGTACTCGGTCCACTTGAGCAGCGCCCGCTCAAACTGGATGGAGACCTTGGTGACCGAGTTGGCCGGCAGCTGAATCAGCATCTCCAGGAGGTGGGGCTGCAGCCGGTCCTGGGCAGGCTGGTAATGGATGTAACCTGGAGACAGGCAAGGCTCAAGTGTCACCCACACCTCTCTCCTGGGGTCAGGCCACCTGCACCTCCTGCCCCACCTATTGAGGCCCTGAGGCCTGGACCTGGCGCCCAGAGGGGGCTCTGGATCAGAGAAGCCAGGCAGGCTCAGGAAAGGAAGTAGGGTCTCAAAAAGGGAAAATAGTTTCCAGAGCAGCCATCCTGGGCAGACAACTGATTGATCTTCACATCGCAAGAACTGGACAGCAGACATTAGGCAGGTTACAGAACCGCCTGGGATGTTTTCCTGCCAAAAATAGTGGACCTGACTCTAATCAGGCCTCTAATACTAACGACTAATACCCCCAAAATATAGGGGACACACATGTTAAACACTGACACAAGGACAAACCCAGAAGGTAGAACATGCTATCAACAAATGACCCACTTTGCCTAACAAATAATTTTTTTTTAAGAATGGGAACTGCCACAGATTAAAAAAGACTCAGGAGTACCACCCCAATGCAAGATGTTAACAACCGGGGAAGCGGGGGGGCGGGGCCAGAGGGCATAGATGGGAACTACTGTATTTTCTGCTCCATTTTCCTGTAAACCTGAAACTGGTCTTTTAAAAAAAGGGTCTATTAATTAAAAAGAGAAACAGAGAGGCACTGAAGAGCTTGTCAAGCATATGAAATGTGAGGACTTTGTTTACATCCCAATTCAAACAGAGGGATTGTAAAAAGCTGCTTTTGAGACAGTTGGGGAAGGCAGGACTGAGGATGACAGGGCATGTTTTTTAAGTCCTTTATAGACAAACACTGAAGGGCTGTGTATAAAGGTGAACTGAGATGAGGTCTAGGGCTTGTTTTAAGATATTCCAGCAGAAAAATAACCAAACAAAAAAAGGGGGAGGAACAGGGGGCGGGAATGAGATTAAAAATGAGAGGAAGCTGCTGGCTGCTGACGCTGCCCACGGGGACAGGGGACGGATTAGGCTATTCCATTTGGGTGTGTGTTTGAAATTTTCCAGAGCAAAAGGTAAAAACAAAAACAAAAAAAACACACCAAAAAACAAAATGCAAAACAAACCCTACAAAATACGTAGGTAGAATGTTTGAAGCAGGTCTTTTGAAGGTGGTACAAGGGGAGGTGTTGAAAATAGTACAACTGTTGAGCACAGCCTTGAAACAGTGGGGCACAATAGAGGGGCTGAAAGAAGACATTAGGTCTGGCATCTCGGACGCGCTACAAGCCCTTCGTAGGTAGCCTTTTCTGGAGCATTAGTCTCTCTCCAGTCCAAAAAAAATGAGCGCTCTCTTTAGTGCTACGCCTGGCACCTAATGAAAAGCAATCAGGAAAGAGTAATTCCTCTTCAGAAAAATAATAGAAAATAAATGTAAAAATTTAAAAATGACTTTTCTTTCCTCCCAAGGCAGCAAAGCCACCTCCAGGTCCGTCACCTTCCACGTCCCCAGTCCTCTGTTGTCTCGCTAACCCGTCCTCTACCTAAAAGGGCCCATGACTCATCGCTAAAGACAGCCCCTGGAGCTTCAAGATGGAGAGAGAGGGAGAGAGACGGGGGCTACCGCCCCCCTAAGTCCTACAGAAAGAATCCCCTGCAGGGGGGGTTTCATTGGTTTTGCTTTATACTCCAGAACAGGCATGGGTGGGGCTATGCTTCCATTTGTCAGACTATTCTGAACTCTTCCTGCCTCTGTAGTTTTTCTGGGTTACGGATTTCGGGAATTACCCCGAGAAATGAGGGTTTGGGGGACCTGGAGGGAGAGAGAGCAGGGTGAGCAGGAGGTTGGGGGGCGGGGCTCAGCTCTCACTTGGTTTATTCTCCTTGCCCTTCGAGGTGATGGAGAGGGTGTGCACGTACAGCCGCAGGTACCAGGGCACGGTGTCCAGGAGCAGCACGGGGAAGGCCCGGCACGGGTGGGCGTTGTAGAGCAGCGTGCTCAGCTCCCCGCTCTGCAGCCCGTAGCCACTCACATAGCGCCGGGCGTGCAGGAAGGGCGCTGGTGCGGTCTCTGTGCAGACCAAAGCCAGCGGTTAATAGCCGCCCCACCCCACGCCCTAGGCCACGGAGCTTCCGAGCCAGGGAGGGGACAAGAAGGAGCTTTTCTATCACCTGCATTCTGGAATCATCCCCACCTTCCCCAGCCCACAGCAATAACAGAATTACTATTACTTCCTCAGTACTTATATATGTTGAGCTCTATGCCCCTTCCAACCCAAACCGGGTGCTCTCATGATATTCTGCACTTCCCCTTGGTAACAGCAGACACAGTCATAATTAATTAATTATGTGAGGTCTGCCTCAGCTAGTAGCTGTTATGTTTCTCAAATGTAGGGTATCTTCTGTCTTCAGAAAATATTTGTCGGTTAAATGAATACACGAACAAACTCCATATTTTAAATTGTCTCATCCAGTAAGGGCAGGAGCCTGCCCACAGTCCAAGAGCTTTAAAGAAATGGATTTGGAAGCAGAGGGCTGACTCTTGGTATCTGGGCCTGAACGCTAGGCTGTTATCTCGGGGCAGTGGGGCAGGGCTGTGAATCTTCCCTGAGAGACGACATCACAGCCCGTGGTGGCCCCCCTCAACGCACCATTGTCCGGGGGCCTCCTCCACTTGAACTGGAGGTTGAGGGTGCGGGAGCTGTTGATCACGGCCTTGTCAAGCAAGTCGTAGACAGCGTAGGTCTTCTGCGTGCCCAGGATGATGTCCTGGTAGGTGGTGAGGGGGCGTGGGTTTACCTCCAATGTCTCATTGTCCTGGGGACACAAGAGCAGGGCTGAGAAGTGAGCAGAGGGGCAGGCTGGCCTTGGAGGGGGGCGATGAGTGTGGCTGGAGACCTTGGTACCTGGTTGTAGCTGGTGATGTCCACATAGACTCGGCTCTCTGAAGCCAGGGGGCAGGGCTCTGTGAGGGTTCGGGAGAACATCCGGAAGAGGGACCAGTCTGAGGAGCAGACAGCAGGATTGAGCGGGGGCTGGGACCAGGCACAGAGAGGGTGGGGCTGGCACCGGGTGAGCAGCAATGCGTCATCATGGGGGCTTACCTTTCTTCCCTTGCCCCGTGACGAAGGCATCGAACACAACGGAAAGGGTCTGCCTCAGCTCCCAGGAGAGGCTGGTACAGCGCGCATTCTACCACAAGGGCCAGACAGCGGCAATAAGGACATATCACCCCAACCACGGAGCCTCAGGGACTCCGACCTTGACTTGGTCCCTTGTCTACTATGTATCTTCCCATCCGTCAGTTTGCCACCACCCACACCTGAGCACTTGACCCAGTGCCAGCAGCTTTATGGGCATCAGTCGGGGGAACCGCCACCAACAACGCAGGAACTACTACAACTATTACTCTCATTTGACAGATGGGGAAACCAGGCTCAGGGAAACAAAAGGATTCGCTCAAGGTCATGCCAGCTGGTGAGTAACTGTGCTAGCAGGTGCACCGCACAGCTATTCTGAACCACTGTGCTGCATGACAAAGATTTATTGAATGCTTGCCAGGCAACCACTCGGTTTCCTTGGCGCATGGCCAATGCCCCCAAGAGGTCATCGTTGTATCCACCACTTACTACTGGCTCAGCCCTCCCCAGGTGCTGGGCCACGTGCTCTACCTGCACTTTCTCTCAGAGCCTCTGGGTGGCACCCGCCCCCATTCCCCATGACTCACTCTGCAAACTGGGCGGATATGCACTGCCTGGGAGTGGTAGCTCGTGTGGAACAAGCGATCAGCCTTCAGCAGCATCGAGAGGCCTGCCTGGAGGAGGCGGGAAGACATAAAAGGTCAGTGCCTGGGGCATCTGGGCACGTGGCAGAGGTTATCTGTAAATGCACATGGCTGACTGGCAGTGGAAGGGCATCTGCCAACTCCACCCACTCTCTGGGGCTCCTGCCCACGTTTGGACCACTCTGGCCTCACCTTGGAACTACAGGGCAAGAGCTTCTTCCATGGGGTGAGGTTCTCAGTGCAGACAACCTCCCGCGGCAGCACAGCATAGCGCAGGAAAGAGTGGTCTGTGCCTGAGGGAGACAGAAGTCTGTCCGGCCGGGCCCTGGGCTCAGGACCCACACACCAGTTACGGGGTGGCCCCTCCTGCTCCCCACTCCCCTCTCTAGCACCACCACTCTAACAGTCCCACCTGGGAGTGGGACCTGCTCCTCCCCTTGGGAGAAGGCAATGCAGAGACAGCAGTCACCCAGGGAGTGATGACCTGGCCCCACTGAGGAAAGAGGACGCTGGGGGAAAAGGAGGCAAAGGTTCGGGCAAGAGGTAACAGGAAGAGGGGAAGGGCCGCAGGGGCTGCTCACCATTGGCCAGGCCCAGGGGCTTGAAGGAGGCAGTGGGAGTGACTGTGTTGGTGGAGTCGATGAAGTTGAGAGAGGCGCAGAAGATCCCTGAGAGGACGTTGCTGAGCTCCTTCCAAGATTTATCCACACTGGATGCAGACACAAACCAGCTCACTGTCCCGGGCTGCCTCTGCTCCCTTCCCAAAGCCTGCACTGGCTGCCGCAGCGTTAGACTGGCTAATTGATGGGCTGGAACATCGCGGCCCCTGCTCAGCCCCTTCCTCCTCCCGCCCTGCAGCCACACAGGTCTTTGCTCTGGTGATTCCTCCTTCTGCCTGGGAATGCCCCCTCACTCCTCTCTGCCTACCTTCAAGGAGGCTCCCTCCTCCAGGAAGCCTTTCCTGCCCTCCTCAACCACAGCCCCCACCTGTGCTGCTGCGGGTCTGACCCTCCGAGCCTCTCCCTAGCCAGGTCCCTCCTGGGAAATGGCTAGGTGGTGGCAGCATCTTGTCCTACACATCGTTTCTCCTCCACCAGGCCTACGGCAACCAGAGCACAGGGAGCGAGGCTGAGTCACCTGTGTGTGTTTCGCAACGCCACGTCAAGTGCCCCACACCTCATGACGCGCACTGATCCACACTGAGTATGCTCAGTTGGGCAAAAGAACGTACTTCCCTGTTAATACCCTGGGCAGGGAGGTAAGTCCTGGTTTTACCTTCAAGGTGGGAGGTCTTACATCTAAAAAGACTCAATGTACAAGAGAAAACAACCATTCTAGGATTTAAAAAAAATTAAATTAGGTGTTTTTTTCCTTAAAGAATTATCAAAACAGATTTGATCTTTATATTAACCATAGAGAGCATAAAACTGGACATTGAAACATCAGCTCATGTTACAGGCAATTACAAGCTGAGGGGACATGGTGATAGCAGAGCAGATGGGGAGAAAGGCAAGGGGGCCGGCGCTCGGGCCGAAGCCTTGGCAAGTTAGTGGGGTCACTGCCTGCTGCTCACTTGATATCACTTAATGCTGTCCTGGGGTTTTTTGAAAATCCTGTTCAGAGCTTTTCAATGGCTGCAAATCTTAAGCCGCAAGTAGGTTGCACACTTGAACCCTGAAGGTTCTACACAAACCAGAACGAGGTTTCGTTTGGTGTGCACAACAGTGACCCACATAGCATGTCTTACATTTTTTAAATTCCTTGCTGATATTTAAATTTGCCCATTTTCACATTAAAATCTACATTTCTGATATCTCCTAAAAAATGAGAGTATCTTATAACAGCGAGCCCCCCCTCCTATGGCAACAATCCATAGCAGATGAGTGGCAGCTGTCCTCTCAAGTTCACGAGCCTGCCACAGTCCCCACCACTCCCTATTATCCCCCCAACCTTTTAAAAAAAATCATGCTTGTGCTATTGATTTCCGATAGTGGATTTAAGAGGAAATTGTGGTACAATAGCAGTACCTAGTCCCACCCCTCCCAACAAAAGCAGTTCCTTTAATATGGAGATCTGGCATCTAGTAGGGCCAATTCTGGCCCACTGCTGTTTTGTTTGGCCTTACATCCAAGTAAGCTTCAATTATTTGTTATCTGCCTCTGCAGAGATATGCATGTGCTACCTCCGGTCTGGAGGTAGTAGGGGAAGGAAGTGCAGTCAGCAAAGTAGAGCATGCCACTCAGTGGTAATGTTATTGCTTACTTCCAAGGAAGCTTTGCCCCCATGGAATTACTGCCGGCTCCAACTGCTGCCCCCAGGGGCAGCGGCAAGATGACAGCACCTCCCCTGCCACATTCCCTTCATGGCCTGCAATAGACCTCAAGGTGGGCACTCACTCAGTGACAGTGTCTTGGAACCAGACCCAGAGCTCTGCACCTGATGGGGCCTGCAGGAAGGGTGGCCCCCAATATCGAGTTCTCCAAAAGCCTTGTGTGAGCGACAGGTGCAGCTCCCGGAGAGAATACTTGGAGATCAACTGCCCGAGGGCTTTGGGGAAGAGCCTATAATGAAAAACTAGAGAAGGGGGAGCAGGTGAGGGATCATCCTGGAGAGAGGCTTCTCAGCCAACCCAAATAAACAGTAGACCCCAGGCACCGGGATCAGAGAGATCTGAATTCCAGACCAGATCGTCATTTACTTCCCAGCGATGTGATCTTGAACACGTGCTTTTACCTCTCTACACCTCTAATTTCTTCCTAGCAAACTTTCACATAGCTTAGCATTGTGCTTAGCACCTAGTATAAATGGTAACCTGCAACAACATCATCAGTGTTGTGGACAGAGCGCTCTAATTAAATGTGTAGTGGCAGCCTGGAGCTGCAGAAAGAGCTGGCCTAGGAGTTGCTACCACTCTCCGAGCCTTAGTTTCACCAACAGTATTATGGGCTTCTCCAACAACTCTGCCATCCTTCCGGCCAGGGACCCACTTTGGCAGGTTCACGCCCGCCGCCGAGGACCCTACCCAGGGGCTAGGCCCCGCCCCCAAAGGCTTGCCTCCACCCACTTCCAGTAGCTGCCACAGATACGCTCCTGTCTGACTCGTACTCTCACCTTCTTCCCGCTGCAGCTCCGAATCCCAGCGCGTGCGGAACTGGAATGTGGCTGCTACGTCTCCAGAAGGCAGCGGGGTGATGACGAGCTCCTCCCGCAGGCTGTCGCGCGGAGTCTCTGAATGACCCAAGGTGCTCAACCCCAGGAGCAGCAGCGCCAGCAGAGCGAGTGGCGGAGCCACCGCCATGCCTGCCGCTGCTTCCGCCCCCCAACAGCGCCCGCCCCCACGGGCGGACGGCTTCCAATAGGGAGAGCGGGTGAGAAGTGACTTCCGGTGTCATCCCGGAAGCCCAGGTGCGGTTACCAGAGCAACGGTCAGGCCGGCCGCCTCAGGGCTGGAGCTTAAATGGACGCTGGGGGGGCGGGTACGGAGGGCGGTGGGCGTGTGGCGGGGCTGGGGGCTGGGGGCTGGGGACTGGGTTGAGGATCTCCAATTTTGAGGTATTCCCACCCATGAGAAAATGCTTAATAATACCAAGTGCTACCACTGCTATTGTTCTGTGATAGTTGGGAAAACAGACTGAGAGGTTAATCGCTCTTTTGAGGTAACAGAGCATTGCTCCTGCCCTCCCTCAGCTTCTAGTGTCTCCATTTTGCTGGGTCCTAAGACTAGCCAGCTCCTCTGGTGGCAGAGCTTCCCCGCAAAGCACCCAAATAACTGGCTTTTATGAAAAGTTTCAAACATACAGCAAAGTTTAAAGAATGAACACCTGTTTCCCCATCACCTAGACTTCACCATTAACACTTTACTTACTTCATCACCCATCGGTCTATATCCCTCAATTCATTGTATATTTTAATGCATTTCAAAGTAAATTGCGGACATAAGCACATTTCCCCCTAAATATTTCAGCATGCGTATCATGAACTAAAGTTCAATATTTGTTTACATTTTTCTTTTGTTGTTAAATTTATGTATAATACAATGAAATTTACAACTCAGGTGCCCGTGTACTGAGTCCGACAAATGCGTACGCCTGTGAACTCAAACCCCCAAGATGTCCCTTTCCAATCAATTCCTGCCCTTCTCGACCTTCGAGAGGCAACCAGTGTTCTGATTGCCCTCCGCAGAATCTGTTCAAGAGTTTCATATAAATAAAATCATCATATGTGTATTTTTGTGTAAGACTTCCTTCGTGGCAAAGATGTCTTTGAAAATCATCCATGTTCTTACATGTATCAGCTGTTTATTGCTGTGTAGTGTTGCATTATATGAATATACCATAGTTTGTTTATCCATTCTCCTGTTGATGGAAACCTGAACTCTTTCAAGTTTTTAATTATTATGAACTAGACGGCTGTACTTTGCAGACACGTGTTTATCATTGACCTTGGGTAAATATTTAGTAGTAAAGAGTATGTTAGGTGTATGTTTAATTTTTTTTCTTGCCAGTTTCTTCTTGGGCAACAGACCAAACTGCCCAATCTATACTTATAAGCATCAAGTCATACTATTTTAGAACTAGAAAAGACATTAAAGATGATATTATTCCACTAAAAGAAATTAAAGTTAAGAAAGGGTAAGTGAAATGGCATGACCACAGCTGGCTGGTGGTGCAGGCAGAGCAAAGCCGGGTCCCCGCCTCTTTACAGACTCTCCCCAAGTGACAGACTAACAGGCATTCAGCTGAGATGTACCCTATTGCAAAAATTTTGGGGTTCTTTGCAACCTTTTTGTTACAATTCAAATAAATCAGGATCACTGAGTTCATTTTCTTCTGCTCAGGGGTGTATCTCCAATAGTTCACAGGATTGAAGCCAATAGGTCTGGCTGCCGTAACCAAGGGAAATGGGAGGGTCTGGGAGTCCTGTTGTTTTCAAGATGTTTCTAGGTGGAGTGTGTTGGGTGGACATTCTCTAGCCCAGGAAACTTGGTACCAATTTCCTTTGCTTGTCCTGAGTATCAGAAAAAGCTAGACTGCTTGTTGCATCAAAAGATGAGATTTTAAATCTGATTCTAAGTCACAAATATTAGGATTTTTGTTTGTTTTTTTTTCCAAAAATGACAATTTCTACTATACGTAGGAAGAATAACTTTGTTCTTATTGGGAATTCAAATTTACCCACTAGCATTATTTCTTTCTTTTTATTTCATATAGTTTATTTTTTTCCTTTTTTATTGAATTTATTGGGGTGACATTGGTTAACAAAATTATACAGGTTTCAGGTGCACAATTCCACAGCACATCATCTGCTCACTGTATTGTGTATTCACCACCCCAAGTCTGTATGTTTCATTTTATAAGAAACCATCAAATCTTTCTCCAAGATGTATCATTTTATATCATCAATATATGTGTTCCTGGTCAACGTTTGTTTTTAATTTTTTTTTTTTCGTTTCAGCCATGTTGGAATGTCTAGCAGTATTTCATTATGATTTTAATTTGCATTTCCCTGGCACCTAATGATGTTGAGCATCTATTCATGTGCTTATCGGCCATTCACATATTTTTTTTCATGAAAATTCTGTTAAAGTCTTTTTGCACCCTCCCCTCTTTTTTACTGGCTTGTTTGCCTTTTTATTATTGAGTTGTAGGGGTTCCAGTGTTCAATTTCTGCTTTAAATTTTTCAGTTGCCCTACAGGGCACACGTTCATGAAGAATTTCACACATAGCCCTGGCTGGTGTGGCTCAGTGGATTGAGTGCCGGCCTGTGAAGCAAGGGATCACTGGTTCAATTCCCAGTCAGGGCACATGCCAGGGTTGCTGGCCAGGTCCCCATTAGGGGGCACATGAGGGGCAACCAACATTGATATTTTTCTTCCTCTCTTCCTCCCTCCCTTTCCCTCTAAAAATGAATAAATAAAATCTTTTTTTGTTTTAAAGAATTTTACACACAATCTTTTGGTAAAACCCCCAACCATATTTCTACAAAAAGCCAAGTTTGGTGTTGAGCAGGTCTGCCAAGATATACGCCAACCAACCAGAGAGGAAGTGTCAAAAAGTTGTCTTTAAATCATTATGACTTCACCATACTTACATTTAGTGTTCCTGTCCCACTACACATGGAATAGAAGGACGGCCGTGACTTCAGACGTCAGATAGACATGGGTCAAATCCCCACACCGGCTGTTAATCCACATGAGCACAAACAACACAAGGGTCGCTTTTCCTCCTCTCTAAAGGGGGTGAACCTATTTCCAGGGTTGTTGTAAGGATTAAAAGTTATATACACGTATGACCTGGAATGTAGTAAGTGCTTAACAGCATTTATTCTAACAACTCCCTGAGGTAAGCACTATTATCTCCATTTTAGAGATGAGAAAACTGAGACAGAAACGGAAATCATTGTTTAAGGTCACCGTGCGGGATGAAGCCGGGACTAAAGGACACACTATTAACCTCAAAAAAAGTGTTTAAAAAGTAGCTGCCATCGCTCTGATTATGATTTTTTTTCCTATGCTTTCTTTCCTTTTGAAATTGCCTGTCCCCATCATTCAAGACCCAGTTACCTCCAGAGAAGGCTTCTCTCCCTCTCTCGTGTGCAGCAGTCCTCTGTGCACTTCTGCCATAGCCAACATTATACTTCCGTTATCCTTGGCCATGCCTGCCCCTGGAAGAGTTCTTGATCACCTTAGTACTTCTCTTGCCTAAGCGAGGAGGCTAGCATACAGTACAGCAGGTGCTCTGTAATGTTGAATGAACAAGCACACAAGACAGTATCATCGCACAGTTCCACGTTGGCCCACACTGCCATGCTGTTCACAGTCCCAAGTTCTGTGCGCTCCTAGGGCCTGCTACAGTGTGAGCCTTCTAAGGAATCTTCCTCTGGGTTGCAGTCCCTCCTATGTCCTCCACACACAGGAGTCTACAGAATGAGTTTGTCTTCCCCTCTTTCCACAGTCTAAGATAAGTCTATGCAACAGACAGAAGAGGCCACGCTGTGGCTTAGAGACTAAAAGCTGGGCTGCTTGCCTTGGGATTCGCTCCAAATCATCCTTCCATCTCCAAGGGCACTCTGTCGCCTCAAGAGACTGACAGCTGGAGATGCTGGCTCTGAAGGCCAGCCAAGCCCCTGTGGTTTGGCAGAAGAAGAGGTCATTGTCCAACCAGGAAGTGGGCCTGGTGTCTCAGCTGACCCTAGACTTTTCCAGGCAGGGCTGGGATTTATTGCAGCTGAAGTCAAGGCTGCCAGTGCGCTCACAAACAATTGGCTCAAGAGGGCTGTAGATAGATCCCTCTCCCCGGGCAGCCTCCCTGCCCCAAACCCACAGATCCCAGCATCGCATGCCTGGGGTACTAAGAGGTTTGCTGAGAAGTTGACAGCAATCAAGCTCATGTAGTTTCTCACCACGCGCCTTGGAAGGTAGTGGGGAGATCCCAGGAGCTGAGAATCCCTGCAGAGCAAAACTGCGGAGCTTACAGTCCACAGCCCAGGAGAAGGCTCAGCCACAATCAGACAGGAGGTTGGGCCTTGCTGCTCCAAGGAAGGGAGAAGGCACAAGAGGACAAAGGACAAAGACCATGTCTGCAGCAAAGTCATAAGCAACCTGGCAAAACCACACAATTTAACATGAGACTGGGCCCTCACCCAGCTTAGTGGATGATCTCAACTTGGACACAGGCTTTTAGACAAAAGGAACGCAAAACTCCCGCAAGTTCCTCCTTCGCACCAGGAAAAGCACTTAAGAACTGAAGACCTGTCACTTACAGTGGCCCCCTGCAGGCGTGAAAGCGGGATGGGACTGTGGGAAGACTGCTGCCCTGTCACTCAGCCTGGGTGGCACAAAGAGCTTTGGGATTTAGGCGGAAGATCACTGAGCCATGGGTGGTGTTTGATGTATGGAGGGAGGGTGGAATGATTTGCTTTTTGTAATGTGAGGAATGACTCCATGTTCCTCTTAAGGCCCAGCCCAATAACCCCTTCTTCCACACCACGCACTCACGCCCATGGCTTCACTTACACCGTATACACTTACCGCCAATGCTCTCCTCAAATCCCACACTCACGGGCCCAACTGCTGGCTCAACATGACCCCTTGGGTGTCTCAGAAGCAGCTCAAGCTCATGTCCAAAACCAAATTTATGATCCTCTTCCCACACCTGGTTCTCTTTTAAACTCCCCATCTGGGTCACGCAACCCCCAAATCATCCTGTTGTGCGAGGCGGGAACAGTGGTGGCATCTGTGACACCCCCCCTCTCACGTCCACCTATCAAGTCTTTCAGAATTCGCCTCCTGAATCTCTCTCCATTTCCTCCCACTTTCCTCTATTCCACCCCGCTCCGCCCTAATCCATCACCTCTCACCTAGGCAGCTCCAACCTTCTCCTGGGTTCCAGACGCCCCCCTTGGAGCCTGGCAGTCGGTGCTCCACAAGGAGCCCTTCTAGCCGTTCTTCCCCTAATCCGCTCCTACTCGCCTTTCAGGCCTCAGCTCACATGCCACTTCCTCAAGGGAAACACCTCATGACTTCTCTGAATAAGCTGTTAACTCCTTTCTAGCACTAGTCAGAGCTGCAATTTTACATTCAGCCTCCCTGAGACTGTAAACTCCGTTAAGGGCAGGGCTGTTTCTCCTGTTTTTGGCCACTCCCACATTCCCAAGGCTGTGTCCCTCACACATGTCCAACAGCAACATCTGATATGAGTGTCATGTTATACCCAGTTAAGCTGATCATCGCCGCCACCTTCCGAGCCGCTTTCACGTCTTGTGTGCATTATTGTGTAGCTGTGTATCTGTCCTGACCGTCCTCCTCCAGTATGTTCTCTACATTGCAGCCAGAATTCTTTTTAACAAGCAAATTCAACTTGTTACCTTTCATTACTCCCAATAGAGTTCAAATTCATTAGCGTGGCCTCTAACATGTAAACTGCTAGTTACTTATCCAAACGCTGCTGTCCTCTTGTTCTGTAGTAACGTAACCCTGATTTTATCAAGGGGGCAGTGTGCCCTGCTGACTGTCCCAGCCTTCCCAGGAGCCGACATGCTTCTGAGAGGTTTAAAAGGCAGAACGGGAATCGGATGCACTGGTAATGCAGTGAGTTGGAAGGGCTGTCTATCCGTAGGCCAGAATTTTCCTTCTTCTAGATAATGCCATGTCCCTATGTCTATGAGATGTCCGTTAATAAAACATTTCTTGTGTTAGTAAATGCTGGCCAATGAGATGGAAGTGGAATGGCACTGGTTAGAACTTCTGAAAATGCTTCCTAACGTGGGACTAGACAGCTGGGTGTGCATTGCCCATCCCTGATTTCTTCCCCTGCTTTCTGCCAGTTCCAAGGACAGGATGGTGGGGATTCAACAACCATCTTAGATATGAAATATCAATGAGAATTCGAGCCATGCGTCTGGGATGCCTGAGCCAAAAGCCAAATAGGGCCCCGGTGCCCACTATGGAGCAGCCATATAGCCCTGCACTTTGGATTTCTTTTAGAGGAAGACATAACTCTGTATCATATTGATATTTTACTAGGAGTCTAATTGAAACGATACAGGCTTCTGAGCATTTTATGCCTTGACCATTGTCAATCTTACCTCCCCTATCATCTTCTCAAATTCGACAATTCCGCCAAGCTGAATGCTTTTCAATTCCTCAGAGCTATTTCTCTCCATTTAAAGCCTCCCAAGCTGCTCTTTCTGCCTGGAATACAGCCTCCACCTTGCTAACTCCTACTCACCCTTTGGATTTCAGCATAAAAATCAGCTCTTTGACAACCGTACCAGTGAGGTTAAGCCGCCCCCATTTCCTGATACCAGAGGAGCTCCCTGTCATGCTACTTATTACACTGTGAACCGTGCTATTTACTTCATCTCCTCCTCCAGGGACAGCAAACTCCATGAGGGCAGGGATTCAGCCTCTCTCACTCAAAACTGTATTCCAAATGCCCAGCCCGGGTGCTCAGTAAATCAGTCGGGAATAAGCGGAGTAAACGAAAGAGGGGAATGGCTTTGGTTACAGAACTAACCAATACAGTGGGGTTGATCTCTCTGCAATGCGAAAAATGAAGTGGAATGGTTGGAATATTATTATTTGTTTATTATTTATACGGTACCCTATTCCAAAAAGGACGTAGGGAGGCAGGATGGCTGGAGGTACCCCCTCACTTAGTGCTAAAGAGTTCGCATCCGTTGGGAGACACTGGTGGAGGAGACGGAAAGGGCTGCAGGGCAGTGCGGGGGAGGAGCGCGAAGAAAAGCAGTGGCGTCCTGTCCTACCTCAACTCCCGTCCCGGTCTGCAAGCTCTACCTCGTCCCGGTCTGCAAGCTCTACCTCGGGAGTAAGCCAGAAGCTAGTGGGCGGGTTACGCAGGAAAGGTTAGCAGTGACACAGGACAGGGTCAGCTCCCAGGGAGGTGCGCCGCCTCGCCATCCCTTCCTCCCCCTGGCGCCTACTACAAGAGAGTCTGGTCTTCTCCGAAGAGCTCTGGCTGGGCCTAGGGTCTCATGTGGAGAACAGCCAGCTTGGTCAGTCCACAGGTGGGGGCCCACTGCTAGCTGCAGGCTCCAGGCTCTGCCCCTCCCTCGCCCCCTTCCTCCTCCTCGTCAGACTGTGCCAAGGGTGTGTCTTCGCCGCCATCACTGGGATTTGGGCTGTGCGGGCTGGTGGAGGAGTCAGAAGACGAGGAAGAAGTGCGGGATGTGGTCCTGTCTGGCGCGTGCACTGGCAGGCTCAGCTCCTCTGGATGGTCGTCCACCCCTGCCCAGAGAGAAGAGCTGGTCAGGGCCACCAACAGGGCTTCGGGGGGCTCTCGGGGATGATCTGGCCAGGAGACACTGAAGCCCAGACAGGGGCAGGGACTTGTCCAAAGTCACTCAACCAGTCCAGCAAAGAGTCGCGGCACCTAACTCCCAGCTCCTCCTATTTCTGGGATCCCGGCTGGGCTCTAGAGTCAGGTCAGTCAGCTCAAGATTCCAAGGTCTCCCTATGTCGCTTATTTACTTAGTGGCTTTGAGCAAGTCGCTCTTCCTCTCAAGGACTGTGCTCCTTCTCTGGAAAAAAAGGGATGTCTACGTTCCAGAAGAGTTTTGAAGGTGAAATCTAATAATGTTTATAAAATGTCTGGCACGTAGTTGTAGGCTGTCAATTAATAGCAGCAGTTTTAAGTGACAGAATATCTATTTCATAAGATAAGTATATGGACTCTGGAGTCAGAAAGCCATGGCTTGAACCCCGCTTTTCTACTTTCTGGCCATGTGACAACTTCTCTGAATCTAATATCCTTCTTTATAAAATGGATATACTACTTACTACCTGCCCTAATAGGACATTTGTAAGGACTGAGATAATATATATAAAGTATTTTAACAAGCAGTGTTAGAAACTTACCAAAGCGCTCAATAAATACTACATTATTAAGGTGACTAAAACTGCTTAAGTTCTCCAAAGTAAAAATTACATTTTTATATCATTTTAATTCCATTCAATTCACAAGTACAAAATTGACAAGGCTAAGGGGGGATGGGCACTCTTAGAATTTTGGACTGGGGGTCTGTAACCCAGCAGCCCTCAGGGTCAACTCCCCTAAAATCAGAACAGACAGCTGTTTCACTGGTGGCAACGCCCCCTTCCAGCCCCGGCGGGTGCACTTCCCCAGCGCACACTCGGCGCCCCAGCGGCTGGCCCCGGCTGACTGGTGCCCAAGTCCCCGCACGGAGCATACCAGATGTCTGAGGGGTTGGCGGAGGGTCTTCACAAGGCAAGAACACATCGGCTCCGTCCTGATCCCCAAGGTCAATAAATTCCACTTGTTCCAGTGCGTCCACATTCACCTCCATGGATGAGATACTACCTATGGGGGCTGCAGATCAAGAGGCCAAGTCAGGAGGACCCCGGCTAGGCCTGAAGTTCAGATGGACAGGAAAACAGGAGGGGAGGGGCTGCCAAGATCCTGGATCTGCGGGACTTTCTCCCTCAGGCCCTCCCCCAGGACCTAGAGCTTACGTCTCTGCGCCTCGAGATGCAGATGAGACAGGGGGAAGACAAACTCTGTCTCCGGCTGTAAAATGTCCTCAAAGAACTTCTGCCGCTCCCGCAGGCGGAGCTGCTGGCGCTCCAGGGAGGCCCGAGCATTTGGGTCCATGTCAGCTCCTGGAGGGTGGGAGACGGAGCTATGAAGTCGAGCGGCCGGGCCGTGGGGGCCTGAGCTTGGGGAGCCCCACTGCAGCCAGCATCCCAGCAGTGGGGTCTCTCTGGTTCCTCCTTCCCCTGAAACAAAGTCCATTACCACAAACGCCAAGTCTCATACAGAGGCGGGGCTGACCCCAGCTCCACAAAGGCGATGCCAGTTCCAGGCACCGCAAGAGAGGCTCCTCTGTATTCAGGGGATGGACACAGCCCATGGCCCTGTCTCGGAATCATGCGCATCTGAGAGCCGTTGGCAGGGCTGCTCCACCGCAAATAGGGGAGGCATTTTATCCACTCTGCCGAGGCCAGGGAACAGGACAGTTCAGAGGTCTCAGGTGGAAAGTCCTCTTCCTCTAGCGCTCTGGTCCTGCACCTTCTTCAAAACCCAGGCAGAAGCTAAAGCACCCCTCCCTTCCTTCCTTTCTCTCTACACTCACACACCCCACGCCCCATTCCCTCCAAACCCTGCTCTGAAGTCGCAGGCCCCACTCCCAGACCTGTCTCTCTTTGCCTGAGGAAGTCACCTTTATAGCTTCAGTGTCCCCATCTGAAAAAGGCACAATCATCCTACCTGCCTCAAACACAAGACACTGCCTGCGAGGGTGGTCTGGAAAACGTAAAGCTCCTCTCCTCTCTGTCCTCTGCACCTCTTTATTTGTGCTGATTGCCTTAACACGTCTCCTCTGACCCATCTCGATCTCTTATCTCCCCACTAGTCGGTGAGTAGCGACTGGAGGGGCAGGTCCTGGGTCCAATTCAGACCAGGCCGCCGGTGCTGAGAGCTTTCCAGAACACCAGAGCTCTGGGCCAGCCCAGGCCCTATGCCTTCACTGGCATTTGCTCCATGTCCTTCCAGGCATTCGGCTCGGAGCCCATCACCGGAGGGGAGGGAGTATCTAACTTGAGACCAGACCACCCTCCTCCGCAGACTGCCTTCCCCGCCCCGTCTATACTCTGCGCATTCAAGCCCCTGGTCAGCTGCACAGGCGCTAGGGCAGTCGCGAGAGACCCAAACCCAGTGGGCCAGGCGGGGCCGAGGAAGTGTGGGGAGACCTTGTGGCCGTGGCGGAGGAGGAAGGCGCTGACGCTTATTCCTGGGAAAGGCTCTTAGATCTGCAGCCCAGGTCACAACGCTAAAAATACCCGGGCCCCTGAGGCCGAGCGCTTCAGCAGCGGCTAGGGGTGGGCCAATGACAGGGTAGGAGAGTAAAAGGGACCAGGGACTCCGGGACGCCCCCTCTTTTTTCCCCTTCCCTGACCCCATCAATATCACAAGACTGAAGGCGCAGCCTTCCCCCCTCCTCGCCACCCCGGGGAAGGGGTGCAAAGCTGAGTATTGGAGAGAAGGGAGTTGTTTACGCGGCTAAAGGTACTGGGGACAGGGGTGAAGAGATTTGGGGGCAGGAGGCTGCCAGGGGCCCGGCTAGGGACCAGTGAAATGAAGAGCGCCCTCCTGGTCTCAGCCCCACCCGCCCTGGAGTCAGAGAGAGCAAAAAGATTCCCTAAAAGGGACACGCCGTGTCCGCGGGGGAAGGGGGGGAGGCGACGGGGCACCCCCACCCCACCCCGGCCGTTCCTCCCGGCCTCGCGTCCCCTACACACACCGGCCCTCCCGCGGCACCTGCGCCCGCCGCTGCCGCCGCCGCCACCGCCGCCACCGCGGAGCCCCTACCTGCCGCGCCGGCGCCCCGGCTGACTCAGTCTGTCCGCTCCGGCGAGACAGCGGCGGGGGCGTGGGAGCGAGCCACGCCGGCCGGGGTAGGGCTGCGCCGCCGGGTCTCCCCCGGGACGCACGGCCCTGGGAGCCGGGAACGAGGAAGAGGCGGGAGGCGGAAGTGGGGGAGGGGCGGTGGCGGGCACACGCGCTCGCCTTTCGCTGGGCGGTTGTGGGGGAGTCCCTTCGGGCGCTGTATCTCGTACTTCTAGGGCGAGCAAAAAGTTCCCGGCCCGCATCCTTCCTCCCCGCGCCCAGGCGGCCTCCCCTGAGCTCCATCCGCCGCTGCCGACCGTGCGCTCGGTTCCGCACGCTCGGCTCCACTAACCGCGCCCCACCGGCGGCGGCGCAGACGCGCGGCTGGGACACGCGCGGGTTTCCAGCTCACGCACACTTGCTGCTCCAGGACTCCCGGCCAGCTCTGAAAAAAACAGCACGAACCCGCACACCCGCACCTTTGGCCACACTCATACGTTGATGCGCGCACATCTCGAGAGGTCGCACACAGGGAAAGAGAGGCTGACCACCCGCCGGAGGGGGAGGGCACCGACCCAGTGCCCGCGCCAAGGCAGGTGCACTGCGGCGAAGGACCCCCCTAACCCTGGGACTCACCCGGCAGCCCCTGGTTCCTGGATCCAGGACCGGACAGCCAACGCCCAGCCTTCCAGCGCACTGGGCGGGGTGGGCGCCGGGACGGGGCGGGTCAGGGCTGGAGGGGTGGGCCGCTGCGCCGCACCCCCAGACGCCGGCGAAGAGTCAACCCCTGCAGGGTTCTAAGAGGGGAACTGTACGCCCGGGCTGGCGGGGGTGGAAGGGTGAGGCGCAAACCGCGGGCCTAGAGGAGAAACGCTTGCCCCCTTGCAGCGCCTCCTGGCTCAGATCAGTGCCAGTGTCCAATCTAGCAGTTCCGGGACCCAGAGGCTGTGCCCATTCTCCTCCTTCTCCGTTGCACCCACCCTCCTGTGCTGGTAGCTTCAGAAGCCCGGGCGGGGCATGGGGGCGGCGGGGGAGGTGTTTGTTGAAGATGCTTCTGCTGTGGGGTCAGCGAACATCCTCGAGCAAGCCAAGAACTAGGACTCATCCTTGGCACCTCCCTGTCCTTCGCTGCCCTCATTAACATACATATTCATTTCTTGTCGATTCTCCTCCCTAAATATCTTTCCAATCCACCATTCCTCTCCGTTCCCACCACCGTCTCTCCCTTGGCTCCCACAACAGCCTTCTAGCTGGTTTTCCTATGCTCACTCGGGCCCTGCTACTGCTACACTTATTCCCTACACAGCAGCCAGTCGTCATTTCAACCTGCAAGTCTGACAGGCCACCCTCTGCTTAAATCTCCGCGTTGTCAGAGTAAAACCTAGGCCTGATATGAGCTGAGCTTTCAAGAAATGAGTTCAGCAAGCGGAGAAGGGGGGAAAGGAATGGAAGTGTGAAAATTCATGACACATTCAGGTTTCCATGTCAGGGGACCAGCCCTCTGTACAAATCCCTAGCGCACTGCCTCCTTTATTGTTTTGGGGGTCTCGAAACAACTCGGAGATAAATACAGCCAGCCGCTTTCCCTGTAGTTTACAAGCAAGGAAACCAGTCTGTGAGAAGAAACAAGTGTAGTGGTTAAGAGCACAGGGATGGCAGAACCTCTCGGGTTATAGACCTAGTTCTGCATCTAACCAGCTACGCAAACACTTATTTTCTCTGATCCAGGATTTCCTTACCTATTAGATAGGAATAATTACTCCCTATGTCTTATGAGATAATCCATAAAAAATGCTCGTACAGGACTTGGGCACTTTGGAGATGCTCAATTGACATTAGCTGTTTTGATTGTAATGGGTTGTGAAAAAGGGAAGAAACTGCTTTCCTTCACAAATTTCTGAAATTATAGAAGTGTGCCCTAATAGTTAATACTTCCACAGAGCTTATTACTTACCTGTCACTATTGTGAGTACTTTGTACATATTAACTCTTTTAATCCTCTTAATAATCCTGTGAGGTAAGTACTATTATTGTTTCGATTTTACAGATACAGAAACAAAGATGCAGAGAAGTGAAGGGATTTGTCCAAGGCCACACAGCTGGTGAGTGATGGAGCTGGAATCTGAACCCGTCAGCTGCCTCCGGGGACCGTGCTTATAACCACTGCTCCCGGCCTGTTCCCTGGACCCTGCTGCAGTTTTCATCTTCCAGGGAATGTTTTGGTCAGTTTGACTCTCACTCCTCATTAATGGATGGAATAGTTACTTGGTCCCATTTCCCAGCACAGAGAAATAAGGCCAAGTCAGAAGTACAGTGGGTGAAAGCTCACATAGTCGTCTTCCCACTTTTCAGGCTTATCCCTAGGAACAGGGCTGCATGGATTATTTTGAGCTGTCCCCAGGGTGGTAACAGATCAGCAACTTTTGTCCCTTCTCTTTGCCAGATATTTGCCAGATGAAGGGTAGGGTGGGAAGAAGTCAACCAACGGAGAAATAAATGAGGGGGCTATGCGGGAAGAGTGTCAGCAGTGGAGAGAAAGGCCCAGGCAGTGGACCAAGGAGTGAGTGGTAAAAGGAGGTGAAAAGAGCAGCGGAAAACTAGATGGCTTAGACTTCCGGCTTCCATCTAAGATGCAGAAAACTGGGAAGAGCATCATTACCACACGAATAATTTTTTTAATTGTTAGATAATCTATAAAAGTATAACTTTTGTCTAATCCATCAGAGAGCTGAGATTGCTGAGCAACCAATTAACCTGAATTCCAAAGAAGGACAGGAACCTCCAAGAAGGAATTGGATGCACGCACTGGCACACGTGTGAAGCAGGAAGAAGGCAAGGTCTGCACACAAGGAGGCAAAAGAGTTCCGCCTGGGCTGGTGGCTCAGTGGAGTGGGTGCCGGCCTGCGAACCAAAAGGTTGCTGGTTTGATTCCCAGTCAGGGCACATGCCTGGGTTGTGGACCAGGCCCCCAGTAGGAGGCGTGCAAGAGGCATCCACACATTGATGTTTCTCTCCCTCTCTTTCTCCCTCCCTTCCCCTCTCTCTAAAATTAAATAAAATCTTTTTTTAAAACAAGTGTTCAGCTGCAGTCTTTATTGAATTGCTAAAGGCCCAGTGTGGTTAGTGCAAGAGTGGGAGTTCCCAGATACTAACAGTAAACATGGAAACAACAAAGCCCAAACCTACTGACAAGAATGACTCAGTCCTCCACACTAATGGCATAAGAAGAGATATAATAATTTCTAGGTATAAGTAATGTCTCCAGTCTCTACTGTTATACACATTATGTTCAGAAATCAGTAAAAAATTACAACACATAAACAAAAAGCAACTTTACAAAACCAAAAAAAAAAAACCAAAACGAAACAAAAACCCAAAAGCCCTATTGTCAAGAGACAAAGTAATCGACAGAACCAGACTGAAGATCTGGATAACTCTCGAGTTATTTGACAGAGAGTTTAGAACAATTATAACAATATGTGAAAGGCTTTGTTGGAAAATGTGGACAACATGCATAAACAGAAGGGGAATTTTAGCAGAGATATGAAGACTATAAGAAGAAAGAGTCATATGGAAAGTTCTAGGGATTTTAAAAACATGTGACAAAGAATGCCCTTGGCAGGCTCATCAGTAAACTCAACACAGCTGAGGAAAGAATCAGTGACGCTGAAGAGAGATCAGCAGAGACTACCCAAACTAAAATAGGAAGAGAAAAAAAAGTGAAGCAAAACACAATAAAGTAAAAGAACAGAATATCCAAGAGCTAACAAATGTGTGATTTGAATCCCAGAAAGAGAAAAGATACAAATAAAAATATGCATACACAAAATATGACCTATCTACATATTCAAACTGTTGAAAACCAAGGATAAAGAGAAAATCATAAAGCATCTAGAGGGAAAAGACACACTACCTACAGAGGAACAAAGGTAAAAATTAAAGCAGAATTCTCGTGAGAGAAGTTATATGACCAGAAGACAATAGAATGGTATCTTTAAAATGCTTAAAAAAACAACAACAACTGTGAACCCAGAATTCTATATCTAGCAAAATGTCTTTCAAGCTTGAAGGAGATAAAAACACTTCTTTCAGGTGAACAAAACCAAAATGCATTACCAGGGCAGGTCAGCACTACAAGAAATGGTAAAGAAAGTTCTAGAGGCAGAAAGAATATGATACCAAAGAGAAATCTGGATCTACATATAGAAATGAAGGTCTCTGGAAATGGGTGAAATAAAGGTAAATATAAAACATTTTTCTGTTTTTAATCACCTTAAAAGATAACAGTGACTAAAGCAAAAGAATAACAATCCACTGTGAGTTCATAGATATATAAAAGGAAAATGTTTGACAATAACAATAGTAAAAATTGTGGGATGAGGAACTGGAAATACACTGTTAAAGGATCTTTATGCTATATAAGAAGTGGTATAATATTATTTTAAGACTGACTTGACTCATTGTTCATATCTTTCTCAAACAAGGGCAGGCTTGCTTATTGTGTGCTGTAAAGGTTCTGGTCATGGGTTTCTCAGCCACACTGCAAACCCAGAGTGTCTTCTGTGCACCTAGCACCATTGTATCACTTGTGGGACGTAGAGCTGAGGGGACCAACACAAAATTTTGCTGGTGTTCACGTTGTTTGGTATGCTATGAGTAATGAACTGTCTTCACTGGATACAGTAAGACTCACTGTCTACTTTTGGTACCCACGAGGTTGAGGTTTTTCCCTGACAAAACATAGTCAACCCAAAGTAAGGAAGAAACTGAGAAAAATAGAAAACAAGCACAGATGAAAACATAGAAAACAAATAGTAGGATGGTAGATTTTAATCCAAGTGTATGAACAACCAATTAAAAGACCAAATACTGGGTTGGGGGGCGGGGGGAAGAAAGAGGCACTAATATGCTGTCTACAAGAAACCCAATTTAACTATAGAGAAATGTATCAGTTCAAAGTAAATAGATGGGATAAGATATACCATAGAAGCAAATTGGATTGGCGGTATTAATATCAGAAAAAGTAGACTTCGAAAGAAGGATTACCAGGATGAAGAGGGACATAACATAATGATAAAAGGTTCAATTCACTAAGAAGACTTAACAATTATAAATGTGTATACAACTAATAACATTAAGTAAAAACCAATAGAACTAAAATAAGACAGCGACAAATCTATGATACAGTTTAGAAATTCAAAAGTTTTCTCTCAGTAATCAATAAAACAAGGACTACACAGAAAAAAAAAAAAAGCTGAGGCTATGGAAAACCTGAACACTATTAACTAACTTGTTCTTTTTTTGTTAATTTTTGAATTTATTTATGCACTCATTGGCTGCTTCTTGTATGTGCCCTGACTGGAGATCAAACCCACAAACTTGGCGTATCAGGATGACGCTCTAACCAACTGAGCTACCCCGTCAGGGCTCAACTTACTTGTGATTGACATTTTTATAACACTTTACCCAACAACAGCAAAATAGACATTCTTTTTAACTGCACATAAAGCATTCACCAAGCTACATCATATTCTGAACCATAAAACAAACCTTAATAAATTTAAAAGAACTGAAATCATAGAAAATGTGTTTTATGACCATAAAAGAACTAAAATAGAAATAATAACAGAACAATATCTGGAAAACAGTGCAATACTTGGAAATAAAACACAATACTTCAAAATAACCCATGAGTCCAAGATGAAGTTGCAAAGGAAATTAGAAAAATATCTTGAATGAAATCGAAACGCGGCAGCCAGCCACCTAAAGCCCTCCCAATGTCCCTTGCCTTCTGTTTATTCAGACATTTGTGTAGTTCTCGCCTACACTGTATCAAGGTTCCTCTGTGTGACTGATAAGAGACGTGGCAGAAATGATGGTGTATATCACTTTCAGAATTAGGATTTAAAAAAAAAAAAGACCACAGCTTCACAGCTTCCGCCTTGCGAGTGTGTTCTCCTCTCTGTTGCTTGCACCACTCACTCTGGGGAAGCAAGCTACTGCCCTGTCAGCAGCCCCACAGAGAGGACCCCGTGGCAGGGAACTGAGGACTCCAGCCAACAGCCAGAGGAGAGCAGAGGCCTGCACGCCACCGTGTGCGCCAGCGAGCAAGGAAACCGGTTGAGCGGTCCGCGCACAGCCTGGAGGCTATGCAGCTTTGGACAGCAGCTTGACTGCGACCCCGTGAGACACTTGAGGCAGAACCGCTCAGCTAGAGCGTTCCTGGATTCCTGACGCTCAGACCTTTGAGATAATAAATACTTCTTGTTTTAAACCGCTAACTTTGGGGATAATTTTGCTATGCAGCAACAGATAGCAATAGAGATTTGGGTGCCGGGCCATGGGCTGCTGTCCTAGCACTCTAAAATATGGGAGTGGCATCAGAACGGGACTTTGAGAAGAGTGTAGCGAAAGCCTAAAGTGCCTTGAAAAAAAGCTGTTACTAGAAGCCTCAGGCCTTTGATACAGTTGCATTCAGAGCATAGAACAGCGATTTTCAACTTTCATCCTTTCATGGCACACAGAAACTAATTACTAAAATTCTGTGACACACCAAAAAAAAATTTTTTTGCTAATCTGACAAAAAAAAAAAAAAAAAAAAAAAAGAGGTATAATTTTGATTCATTCACACCAGACGGATATTGTTGTGTTAACTGTTGTTACTTTGTTGTTTGACAATCTAAGGGAAAAAGAGGTTAGTGTCCCTGATTAAATAGTTAAGTGTTGTATGTTTTAAAATTCTTGCGGCACAGCACTGTGCTGTGAACCCCTGGCTGAAATTCACCGGCATAGAAGGAAGTGAAAGAAGCACTCCTGGAAACTGTGGAAAGACGAATTCTTGCTATGTTGTGGTACGAAGTTTAGCAGCCTTGTTGCAGGAAAGTGGAAAGAAGAAAATGCGCGTAATGAGTCGAGTGATCCAGCTAAGGAGGTTTCCAAGGAAGGTGCTGAAGACGCCACCTGCTCTCCTTTTGCTGTTTATAGTAAATGCAAGAGGAGAGAGAGAAACTGAAACAGTTCTCAAATGAGAGCAACACTGCTTCCTGGGGGACGTTTGGCAATGTCTGGAGACATTTTTGGTTGTCCAAACTGGAGGCTGCTACTGGCTTCTAGTTAGTGGGGGCCAGGGATGCCTAAATATCTTATAAAGCTCAAAACAGGCCCCTCTCCCCTCGCATCAAAGAATTATACTGCCTGAAATGTCAATAGCGCTCAGGATGAGAAACCATGAACTAAAGGACTGTTAAGTATAAAGGAGTCAGGACTTCATGGTAGAAAATTCTCAACCTCTCCAAATAGCAAATGATGATAAAATTAAGAAATGGTGTACTAGCAAAGCTCAGGGTGGTGCAAAACAAACAAACAAAAAACAAACCATGGTCTCCAATGAAACCGAGAATGTGACTATAAAACCTTTTGTTTACGTCTCAGAAAGAATTAAGGCACTGCTTCAGCATACCATTTAGTCACAGAAAAGACCTCTAAAAAAAGTATAGGTGTGCCTCAGAGATGCTGTGAATCAAACACTACAGATTCTAGAAAGTTTAAGGGCCTTGTCCCTTGGCCCTTTCAGAAGAAGCCTAATGGAGAGAAGGGCTTATCTCAAGGAAACAGTGGGCATGGCCATTGTCTAACAGAGGGGACCTGAATAAGATTCAGAGTGACCCACAATTCTTAAAAGGATCATATATCCCGATACGTCTCCAGCTAGGACTTAAAGGGATAGAGAGAATTTCCAGTTCTGAACAACGTGGAGCAGACACATTCCTCTCTACCCCTCCCACCAAGTACAGCTTACAATGCTGGACGTTATACACAAAGCAAACATAGGAAGGCAGACCGACCAGGAGCCTCAGTGCTCGAATGACACAGCAATGAGTCCCCGCCAGGGTGCTGGGGAAGCCAGCCACCGGGAAGTGCCACACAGGCAGACACAAAAATCACCCCCCACAGGTGACTGTACCAGGTTGAATAATGTCCTCCAAAAAAATCATGTCTTTTCCAAACCACAGAATGTGACCTCACTTGGAAATAGCGTCTTGACAGATACAATTAGGTAAGATGAGGTCATTCAGGATTAGGATGGGCCGTAAATCTGATAACCGATATTCTTATAAGAAGACTGTGAAATTTTCCCATGTAAATGGAAGGGCCAGACAAGATGGATCTGGAAAATGGCTTTGGGAGCCATTGCTGGGGCACAAAGTCCGGTCACAAAGGACTCATGTCCCCTTGGGATGAACTGCCGGATCAGGCGGAGGAAGAGAGGGGCCCGTGAGGGGTGAGACGTGTGGACCCGAGCAGAGTGGCGGGGCTCGGCCCGGCGCCCAGGGCCGAAGCCACCCTCAGTGGCCGGGGCCCCCAGGACAAGCTCCAAGCAGCCTGCTAGCCAAGCTCACTCTCCGGCTTCAGCCACTGCCGCTCTTGGCCCTTTCTGCCCTGGCAACGTATAACTGTTCATAATCCCCTTGCAAACCTGTATTTTAAAATATTCCCCCTTTTAAGAATGCCCTGCCCACCTCTCCCCGCTCTGCCCAACCAGCTTCTCCTGCCCCTTCATTCCCTGACCTCCTCAGGCTGGTCCTCTGTGTTCCAACCACCCACGGATTACTTTTATCATAGATAATATGACTTCTTTCACTTTTCCAAAAAATACTCATTGGGTACCTATTATCTCTCAGGCACTATTCTAGGCTCTGGGGATTTATCAATGAATAGAACAGAAAACAATCCCCCACCTTGAGGGGCTATATTCCCCAGAGGCTGAGCATGCCCCGCCCCAAGAAGCCCCAATTCCCCTGTGACCTTCTTGGGGCGGGGCGTGCTCGGCCTCTGATGTTGCTGTTCTCAGGGCCTGGCGCACGGTGGGTCCCCTGCACTTGGCACCCAGGGGCTGGGGGCAGGCTCAGGTGATTCTGATGCAGCCCGCCAGAGCCCAGTGGCGTCCAGCTGATGCCAGCTGGAACTGCCTGGCGGGGAGAGGGACGCCTGAGCAGGCAGCGGGGCCAAGGAGCCCTGGGGAGGACCGGAGGGAAGAGAGAGGCTGTCCTCCGCGTCTTCCCTCCCAAGTCACCTCCTAGGGTTCTTCTCTGGGCCCTGGCACGTTCAGCCACCCTCCCCTCCCCGCTCCTTCACCGGAATACTAAAGGCTTTTTATACGTAAGAAGCTGTTCAGCCGTATGAGCAGGCCCTATGCACCCACACCCCTCGGCCTAGAAGCCATATGGCGAGAAGCGGTTCCCACGCTTGGATGGGTATCAGACTGGCCGACTCTTCTGTGTGGGGGGGGTGTACCCAAGAAGCTGTTTTTCAGAGTCTCTCCAGATTATTCTGATGCAGCAAGTGAGGCCCAAGTTATTAAAGTCTCCAGTGATCTGTCCCACCCTGTCACCACGTCCCCTGCCACTGCCGCTCTCCCTTCCCTGACCTCCTTCAGGTCTCAGATCTCATCTTGTTGAAGAATCCTTCCCATTCCATCCTTCTACTACAGTGAAGCTTCTACCTTTGCTCTCCTACCCCCCTTCCCTGTTTAATTTTCTCCTCACACTTATGTCCATTCGGCATAGCGGTGGTGTGTCCCAGAACTGAGTCACGGCGCTTGCAAAAGCCTGTAACTTTTTCAGGACCTGTGCTGGCTGGTTGTTAGGCATGGCCATCATTAAAAATTAAGTTATACAAGCTTAATTTATGATATTAAAAACAAAGGCGAAAATGCTCAAACGCATCACTTTCTAATTTTTTTTTACTACCTTTTACTATTTTTTATGTTTTCAAGGGTCTCTTTACATCTGTAGAAATACAGGGTCTGGCACAAATAACGCCCCTTTTTAATTACAAATCATAAGCGTATAATTCTGTAACATAACAATGTCACACTCAAGCATACCACATGACATTTTGGGTGAAATGTTCAAATTAAAACTAATAATTAAAAATAAATTATTACACCATATTATTACTCTACCAACCACATTCAAGCAGGACTTACTTCTGCCGGACCCTGTATATAATACATAATAGTACGGTATTTTGCATTTTTGTTCAACTCTGCATTCAGTGACATCCCATTAGTGTTTAAGCAGCTGTGGAAGGAGTACTTACCCCATAGACATAGGTAAACGTGACAAATCAGGTTTGATTTATTGTTTTGTTGATGTAGACCAGGGGTTGGCCATAGGCCACATGCAGTCCATCAACTATTTTTGTAAATAAAGTTTTATTGCAACACAGCCATGCCCGCTCATTTACATATTACCTAGGGCCACTTGCACACTGCAGCAGGAGAGCTGAATAGTGGCAGCCGTAGGGCCTTTGCAGAAGAAATTTCCCCACCCATGGTCTGGCCTTAAGAAAGAAATGGAGGTGTTAAAAATGCAGATTAAATGTAAACCTGTGTCCTGTCTATAGCTGTTACAGGGAAACAGCAACACACACACACACACACACACACACACACACACACAAACCCTGACAATGAGAAAATATGCTTCCAGTATTTGAAAACTACAGTCCAATACAGCAAATAAGTTGATCATGTCATTGATGAACAGGTGGAATTCCAACATCTTTGTTCTTCCATTTTTTCACTTTCTTCTTACTCTTAGTGTAAATGAGAATATCAACATTCAAACTATACTTGTTTATCCACTACAACCATACGTTGGCTATGGACGCAAGAGTTGGGCACAATCCAAGAAAAGTGTACTGAGAGAATCAACTGGCTATGTGGAATTTGCAATAAGGAGTATTGTCAAATTTCATTATGTTTGATTTCTATTAGTAAATTTATAATACACACACTTTGTCTTAGAGAGCCAATTATTAAACATTTATAAGCACACACACACTGTTTTGTTGGCCCTGCACTAGAGTGTAAGTTCCTTAAGGGTAGGAATCTTGTTTTATTTCAGTACTTGGAACATCACCTCACGTGTAGCCAGGCCACAGTTAACGCACGTCACGTGAATGAATAGATGAGCACAGTTGGAACCTCCTGGTTCCGTGGGCTATATTAGACCTTAGGTCTCCAGCTCCACCATTATCCAACTGTATGGCCTTGAGTAAATCATTTAACCTCTTTGAACCTTGGCTTCTTCATTTGAAAAGAGGAATAATCCTCCTACCTCACAGGGAGGCGGTGACAACCTACGCCTCTGCCTGCTGCCCACCAGGTCTCTCCGCAGATGGGAGTTTCTTCCTGACCCACAGCCCCCGCCACACACATGCGCCTTGGAGACCCAGCCCTGCTGTTGTTACACACGTCAGTGATGTCACAGCTCCCCTCCCTGGGAGCTGCAGCGCCACCACCCTCACACCCAGCCTGCGAGCTGGCTGAACCGAGAGGGGCAGGGCTCAGGCAGCAGCTGGTACCAGTCTTGCTCCATCTGTCTTTGAGGCCTCACAGCCCCAGCATGAGTCCATCCGCAAAGAAGAGGCCCAAGAATAGTGTGGTTTTCAAGGTTGGACTAGGGAATGGCCAGCCACACCCCAGGGCAGGTGGAGGGAGAAAGAGAGCGGAAGGGTGAAGGGAGGTCAGGAGAGTGAGAACGGTCTTCCCTTATCTGCCCCCAAACTGAGGTGACAAAAGTCGCAGTCTAGGATTGGTCCAATCATGCTGAGCCGAAGGGGGAGGCACCATGGAGGCGTTCAGAGGGGACAGGACTGTTCCTGCGTTAGCGCTCCCTCTCTCTCTACCTTTTAGATGCAAGAGGAGAAACTACAGGACAATATACAGCAGCCTGTCCACAAGTTAATTGAGTGGAACCAACTTAAAATGGTGAGATGCCCCGTTCTGGCCCCAGCTGAGCAGGGCCCGCGCACCCATGTGGCACTGCTCCTCGTGCCATGGCTGAGTGCGCCAGAACGAGTCCCTGAGCTGAGCCACCGTCTGGATGGCGAGCGGGAGGCTATGCCAGGAAAATGGAAGCCTCTGTTTCTCTGGTTTCTCCCCTCTGGCAGGTATTGAAAAACTTGTCATTCTTGAGACTATTCAAGAGCTCGAACCCCCGGATCCAAGAGCTACATAACCTGGCCAAGAGGTGTTGGAATTCACCACTCAAAGTTCGGAAGGTCCTCCTGATCTCTAGGTGAGCCCGGCCCACCCACGGCCCCCACAGGGACCCAATAACCAGCTTTAGGAGCAGGCACTGTGCTCGGGAACTTAGAAAACCTAATTTTCACAAAGGCTTTGTGAGAAAGGTATTTGTGAGCCCTATATTTTATTAATAAAAAGCCGAGGCTCAGGAGATAAGTGACTTGTCCCAGTTACCTGACCTGGTAAGTGGCAGAGCTAGGATTTGAAGCCATTCCTGCCTGTTATCGGAGCTGTGATCAAAACCACGGTCATAACCGAGCAATTATGGGACTAACCACCACCCGGGGTGCTGGGCAGGGTGGGCACCCCTCCTGTTCCCCTCCTCAAGTCAACACTACCTGACATTCACCTGCAGGCTAGGCATCTTCTTGCCGAGACTCAGTTTCCTCATCAGCCACATCAGAATATTAAGAAAACTCACAATTACTAGGCACCTGCTAAGTGCCAGGCACTATGCTAATTACTTTACAAGCATTTTCACATTTATTTTATTCTTCACAACAATCCTCTTAGGTAGACAGAATTATTCCAACTTACAGAGGAGGAAACTAAGGCTCTAAGAAGTCACATTTCTTGCCTCAAATCACACAGATGATAGGAGGCAGAAGTGAATTTGAACCCCAGTTTGTCTCAAAAGCCTGTGTTCTCCAAGCCACTCTGCCACTTCACCGCCTCCCAGGGTGCAGGACCGTTGTGGGGGTCTGGGGCCTGGGGCCTCCCACACAGTGGCACTCGGTCAGTGCTGGCCATTGTCATCATCAGTGCTGTCATCATCTTGAGCCCAAGCATTATCAGTATTGCTATTATCTTGCCCCTCTCCACACACTCAGCTAGGACAGCGCTGCCACTTTGCAGGGGACCCAAGCTGTTACAGACACCTCTTAGGAGAGTCCCCCCCAGCGTCTGCTGCCCCTGGGTAGCCCCACCGCTCCGGGCTCCTGTCTCCGAGGTGGCCCCTAGCGTAGGCAAGTCAGGAAGCGCTGAGTCGGGGCCCGACAGTTTTCTGGCCTTTTTAAAGCAGCTGAATCCCTCTTCAAAAATCTATCCCCAAACCCCAGTTGTGTGGTTGTTGGGGAAGGTGTCCTGCCTTTGCCCTGCCCTGGGGTGGGCAGTGGGTGGGGCAATTCCTCAGAACCCTCAGGTTTCTCAAAACACAATCTGAAAAAAAAAAACAACAAAAAACCCAAAACAAAAAACCAAAAACACCGCACTAGTTCACCCCATCAGCTGCAATCCGGACCTAGTGGCTGATGCTGATCCTCTATACTTCTAGGTGCCATTATGTACTAGTCATCTGCTTTTGCCTTCTCAGCCTCTCATATCCCTGTCACCAGAATGTATTGCATCTCCTGCTGTCAGGTTCAAGGCCTCTGGGCGGCAGAGAAGTGCCTTCTGGGCCCCCCTAGCATTCTTCACAGGCTGGCTGCCTGCAGCTGGCTGCGCGGCAGCCATTCAAGGCCAGGCTAGAGGACCAGGCCTTCGCCCTGCGCTGCTGACTGCTGTTCCCTTCCTTGCTAGGAACAACGCTGTCTGCTACAAAGTGGACCAGGATACTGAGGAGCTCCAGGAAGCTAGCTGCTCCAAGAAGAAGCGGGAGTCTAAGATGTTAGAGTCTATAAAGAAGCCTAAGGAGTCCGAGCCCAAGGTGGGGAGGCGGGAGAGGAGAAAGGTCCGGCAGTCACATTCAGCAGTGCCAGGGAGAGAACAGGCAGAGCCTGAGGCCCCAAAGACATCGAGAGATCATCGCCTGACCACTTGCCCTGGAGCCTGGGAGAGGCAAATGCCCACTGGGGACCACAGAGTCGTCTTCCTGAAGACCCACGATGGGGACATGGAGCAGCTGGCAGTGGCTGACCAGTGGATCTGGTTTGAGGGGCTGCCCACGCGGATCCACCTCCCAGGGCCCCGCGTGATGTGCAGATCATCCACCCTGCGCTGGGTCAAGCGCTGCTGCACCCGCTTCTGCTCTGCATCGCTGGAGCTGCCCATGTGCCATCCATACAGGGTGTGATGATGCCACTGCCGGGCCAGGGTAAGATGCAGGCCCCAAGCCGGGCCCAGAGCCGGGCCAGAGTCAGAGGGCTCAGGATATGGTCTCGGGGGTTGTGGCTGGCAGTGTTGGGAGGCCCCATCTTCATGCCTAGGAAGGGAAGCTCAGAGCAGGGGAGCCATTGACCAAGCTACACAGCAGCCTAGTGGCCAAGCGGAGCCTCTTGGGGTCCAAGGGGCTCTAGGGAAGGAGAGGCACACCCTGGGAGTGTGGGTTCTGAGGCGCGTCATCCCACTGCCTGGCCGCCTCGGGAGAGGACACAGCTGCTGAGGCTCAGGATTTCACGGAAGTCAGAGGAAGCAGTTTAGGCATTTCTAAATGTGGGGGAAGGGGATGTGGTCAAGTAGGGCTCTGCCACATCCCATCCTCTCTCAGACGAAATCAACTCGGCAATTGTTTTATTTATTCATGTTTCAAGCAAGATTTACTCTGAAAAAGTTCTTTTGCATGAACAAGAAAGAAAAGAAAATACTCCAGCCTCCCCCAGAGAGAATTCAGCTCCCAAGAAAGGAGGGGGGTGATGGCCTAGGGGGTCCAGTGGGAAGGGAGACTTCCCCTTCCCAAAACCCACAGCAGACAATGCCGCGCCCGGTCCCTGAGCCCTCTCCCTGGACGGCAGCGCCCCCTGGGGGCGGTCTTCTCTCCTAACACCAGGTCTCTGCTACAGGTGGTGTGATTTTGGATGGGAGCCAGAGTGTGAGCAGAGGGAGGATCGTGCAATCATCTGAATGGGAGGGTTGGACGGGAAAATTCGCGGGTATACAAATAAAAATCTCCCATATGGCACTGAAGAATACTTCCGTTAGCTCTGTTTGTTTGTCTGGGGCTGAAAAGGCTGGAGAAAAAAGGTCCTCCGCGGAGGTGGGGGTGGGGCGAGGGGTGGAGAATGTGCATCACTTCAGGCTTCTTCCACCGCATCCGCAGGTCCCTAAAGTGTCCCTAAAGTCAGCCTAGAACCCAGAACAAAGAATCTAGCAAGCTGCACTCTTCCCTGCCCCCATGAACTGGCCTCCTGAGTAGTGTGCTCTATGAAGTCATAGAAAGGGATCATTTCCTGGGTGTTTTCTGGGTGTTTCCTGGGTGCCAGGTGTCTCACAATGGCCCTGCAAGCCAAAGAGAGAAGGAAACCACAGAGCAGAGAACGGAGGTACTTGCTCAGCGTCACACCACTAGGAGTGGTGGAGTAAGAACTCTGATCTCAGTCTCCTGGATGCTACCTATTCCCTTTTCAAAAGAAAGGTAAATGGCCGAAGGGAGCATCCATACGGTCTGTCATGCACCTGTGTTGCACTGATCACAGCGTCAATTGTCAATGGATGGGTGTTGCTGGGCCCCACCTGAGTCAAAGATCACAGAAAGCATCAAGTCAGGTGGGAAGCTGGTACTGTGTACCTGCTGCTCACATGTGACATGGCACATACATCCTCTAATGAAAGCCCTGGTCCACCCATGCGGTTGGAGTCGCCCTCTGCCCGCAGAAGCTGTAGGGCCCTAAACATGGAATTGGGGAGAGGAAAGCCCAGGCTTTCTTCAATGAAGACTATAATCCTCCATTTTCCTTCCCCTAGAGGCAGGATGCCCTGAGCGGATGTCCCAAGGAAAGCAGCAGGGCCATCCAAGGGCACCAAGCCCTCAGCCCGCCTCACCCCACCCCCAGGAACCAGGACAGTGATGGAGAGGGATCCCCAGATTGGGAGAGTAAAGGATGGGAGGGCTCCCCCTGAACCCTCCTCCTCGTAACCCTCCACCCCACTGGTGCTCAGCACCGTGACTGTACATCCCTCAGAGAAGACGGCCTGGGCTGGCCGGCGGGACTGCCCTGCGTTGCCCTGCTCTGCCTGGGCGCGGCAGCCAGCAGCCCTCCCTCCCTGCCTTCCTGCAGGCCACCCCTCCCCAGTGCTGCACAACCGCCAGCCCAGTAACCTCCACCTCAAGCCGTCTGCCCGCTCAGCCTGCCCCCAACCCAGCTCCTGAATCTCCATTTCGGTTCCCTTGCTGGACGCCATCAATCCCATCAACCTTCGAAAATAACCTCTCCTCCATCCTTCCTCCCAAGCTCTCTCCAAGCCATCATCCCACCTTCCCGTGAACTTCTGTCTTCTGTGATGAGCAGGTTATCAGCCGGCAGACAGTCAGGGCAGTGCCCTTCCAACCAAAAAAATCACAAACAAAACCCCCCAAAATACTCTGTCGGGAGTGGCAGGGGGGAGCACTATTCTTTGTGGGAGCCTACCCAGGGAACCCAAACTGGGGCCTGCAAAGATTGGCAGCTTCCACTCTGCCCCCAGGGAGCCAGAACTGCGAAGGGGGAACGCCATGGACGGAGGCTGTACGCCCAGAGCGTGGCAGGGAAGCCAGGATGCAGGCCGCCTATGAGCGACCCCTAGCAGGTGTCCTTCTTCCTGCCTCTCCCCACCAGCACTGGCACTTGGTCCTCAGGCAACTTGCCTCCCACAATCCCACAGCAGGGGTCTCCCCACTTCACCCTCCCTTTATTTAACCACTTTGATCTGAGGCTCCTCTTCTGGGCTCAGATTCTGATTTGGGCAGGAGGCTGCAACGGGGATCAGAAAGCACCCCAGAAATGGCTCCCTAACAGTGAACTGGACTGGGGAGGGGGGATTAACTTTAAAGTGTTTGAGTGACTTTTAAGTCACATGACCTCTCTGATACTCTGTCATCTGTTTATTAAATAGGGATACTAACACCCACTCCAGAGGGCTTTGAGCAAATCAGGCTTGATGCAGGCAAGGCCAGTTTGTGGGGTATTGAAAAAATGTTTGGCCTTTTTCCATGTCTTCTCCGTGGCCCTGCACCCTCATAAAGCCCCAAGGCCGGTACTGACCTTGTTTCTCACTTAGGAGCAGCTGCCTAACTTGCCCACTAAAGGGAACCAGATGCTTGTTAAAAATCCAATTCTATGTTCACATCCACAACCTTTTCTGAAGATGGCATCTGGGCTCCCGAGACTGTCCCTCTCCCGACCTGAATCATGAACCACTCAGACATGATTGGAACATGGAAATATGAGGCTATGGAAGCAGACAGGCCTAGCTTCTTACCCTCAGTTTACTCCTTATCCTGAGTTTGTCTGCCAAACGAGGAAAATAATGGTGCCTATGTCATTGGATTAAGTGAGAATACATATGTCACTCCTCAGTGCATGGCACATAGGAGCTCAATAATTGCTGGCTGTATCTAGACCATGGGCAAGCCTGTTCCCCATCTGACAGCTGAAAACACTATGGGCTTGGAAGAAAGGCATGTCCTCCATACAATGGGGATGGGGCGCCCGTGACTGTAACTTAGATTTATGGGTGACTTCCTATGTGCCAGCTCCAGTGCTGAGCGCCCTACACACGTCTTAGCGAATCCTCATAACCACTCAAGGAAGTACTACTATTATCCTCAGGTGGCAAACGAGGAAACCGAGGGTGGGAAAGGTTAAGTAGCTTATCTAAGGTCTCACAGCTAGTCATGGGCCTCCAGGACTTAACTCTGCACTCCATCGTTGCTCTCCAAAGTGTATGCTAGACCCCTAGGATTGCCCAGGCAGGGGCAGGGCAAGGAATGAAACACCCAGCTCTCGCCACCCCCTCATTCCGATGCTGTTTCTACCATGCTTCATTGATTTCCTACAGAAAACCTCAAGCACCACAGTGGCTTTCAATTCCCTCTACACAGAGAGCCCTTTCTTGTGCCTTGAATCTGTCCATACACCCCCAGCTCCTAAGGCTCTGTGGTCCTTGGGCACTTCCTTGCCCGCACACACTGACTGCCTTCTGGGACTGGCAGAAGCAAGCTGCCCTGATCTGGGAGTCAGAGGTCTAAAAACCTCTGCTTCCAAGGGCACCTATTTGAGCTGTGCACACCCCACAGGACTCATGGGGACCTGGAGCTTTCCACCCCACCCCCTGGTATCTGCCCACTGCCATCTGGCCCCATTTGGCTGATCTGGCCAGGGCTGCCTACAACTAGAGGTTAGAGGCACCCTCGGAGCTACACATCCTGTTCTCCTTTCCCGTCCTCCTTGCAGGTTATAAACTATTCTGAGCACCTGTTGGGCGCTAGTCTCTACTTCTCTCCAAATGGCCCAAGTTCAGGTCGTGGGTGGGGTAAAGGGAGGTTCAGGCTTCAGGCCCCTAGAAAGTCAAGAGATATACCCACTCAGTGGTGGGGTGGATGGAACTTTCCTTTATCCTTTGGAAATAAAAACATTTCCTACAATCCTCTGTTCACTTGGAAATCTGTGGCCATATTTAACATACTGCATGTCAGTTTTTCTTAGAAAGCTAGTAATGTTTATAAGGCACTATACAGCCTTAGTATTTAAAACAATACAGTAGGGCCCTGGCTGGTGTGGTGCAGTGGAATGAGTGCCAGCCTATGAACCCAAGGGTCATTGGTTCAATTCCCAGTCAGGGCACATGCCTGGGTTGTGGGCCAGGTCCCCAGTAGGGGGGTGTGCGAGAGGCAACCACGCATTGATGTTTCTCTTCCTCTCTTTCTCCCTCCCTTTCCCTCTCTCTAAAGATAAATAAACAAAACAGTATAGTAGGATGTAGAGGTATTACTACAAGGTGATAGATTATTTAACCAATAACTTATACAGCCTTTAACTATTAAAGATTTCCCAATGAGTTTATTAATGTCACTACTGGAGCCCAAATCCTGGCTCTCCCAGCTCCTAACATGTAACCTTTGGCAAATTCCCCACAGTATCCTCATCTGTAAAACACAGATGATATTCTCTCTTCAGAAATTGTTGTGGAGGTTAAGTGAGCAAGTTGTCGAACACTTAGCCCACTGTTGGGCACCTATCAAGCACTCAATAGATGTTATTTATTACTAAAATGACATCACTGCCATTGCTCAATTCTCTCTGAAATTGCCTCTAGATACTGCTTTTATTGTGACTTTACAAGTAAAAAAAAAAAATCTCATTAAGGTCACATATTTTTGACCCCCTCATTCAGCTCAGTCACTGTTTTAATTTAAAAAAAAAAAAAACACAACAAAATTCCCCTGGCTTTTGGAGATATCCAAATATAAAACTAACGCTCAAGGGGCAGAGATCTGTCATCACAAGGAATGTACGGAACAGCACCAGCTCTTGAAGGAAACCCCCAGAGCAGTGTGCCAGCTCAGCCCGTGACCAAGGGAGGCAGCAGCCAGGCTGAGTGCTCCGATGCCTTTCTCAAAATGAAGGTAGTCAGCCCCTCGAGTTGTGGCGTCTGGAGGGAAACCCACCGACCTAGGGAAAGTCACCTCAGCGGGTCTCGCCTCGGACCCTGCAGCCCAGCCGCAGCATCCAGTTACCGACGTGCCTCAGCCCAGCACTGCCCCAGCCGCTGCCCAGGCACGGTCACTCTCAAGCCTTCATCTAGTCAGACTCCACACCCTACTCTGGAGGGCTGGACGCCAGGAGGCTAGAAAGGCTTCCTGGGAAGATACAGAACTCATCTGTGTAGTCCTAACACTAAAAGCTGAAAACTGACAGCTCTCTCGGGCAGATTCTAGAGGACCCAAAGAGGAGCACCAATGTTTTCAATGCAGAAGTGGGTCTGGACCAGTGCATTCCACTGCACATGCTCAGAAACCACCCGCAGGTGGGAAAGGAATCCTGAGAGTCATGGCGGTCCACCCACCGTGTAGCAGAGGAGGCTGCAGGTGCAGGGGATGGGACATAGGTGTTCCCTACACTTAGTATTTTAACCAAATGGAGGAATAAACCTGGGGTCCAGGAAAGGGGGCGACCTAGTTCTTTATATACAGCTCCCCGCTGCCAGGCTGTGCTGATCTCTCAGTCCCCACCATGGCATTACAAAGAACATAGAGGCAGAACCGTGGAAAATACTGTATTTATGTACACAGGAAGGACAGCTGCAAGCCTCTCACACGGGACACTCCACTCCCAAGAAAAATCTTAAGAGCGAATCTCCCTCGGCACTGCCAGCGCAGGTCGAGCTGGAAGGCTGGGCTTCCTGTCTCTGGGCACCCACCACGCCCTTCCCACTGAAGAATTCCGAAGTAGTCGGAAAAAGGACCTATTGCCGCAAGTGATGTCCGGGGGAGCTGCGGAGCCTGATCACTCCCAGACATTCTATTACCAGGGTTAGACGGGGAACGATGCTGGGATGTCTCTCTGGGTCCTGAGGCCCACTAAGGTGAAAGAGTGGCAGCAGGGTGGGGACCCAGTAGAGAAAACTGGAAGTCAGTCAGTCATAGATTCATGGGTGCACACATACATGCACATAGCAAGACGCAGGCTGTGCGCTTTCCTTGCGCTTGACGGCCTCCATCTGCCGTCCGATCCCCGAGAGCAGCCTAATGCTGTGCGCCTACATCTTTTCCTGTGGCTGTGAATCCAGACATCAAGTGCTTCTCCAAATAGAAGAGCTGCGGTTCAACGGCAAAGGTAACAGCTGTCCCAGAGAGATAAGACTGATGACTAGAAGGCTGGTTTGCTCCAATCAGATATCCTTGATTTTTTTTTTTCTTTTTTAAAATAACAGGCTGGTGATAGGTATGATGGCTCAAAAGTGACATGGTTCCAATTCTGCTATTACCCTGAAAGACGTCCCCTTGCTGACCTCCCAGATACCAAGTTCAGATCCCTTTGCTGACCTCCCAGACACCGAGGCTTCAGCAGACGAAGGCCATTCTTGCAGCTGCGATCCTGACCGCTCCCTGCCTTCTTGACGGGGCCTCACTATCTCTCCCACACGGACAGACTTCACACTTCCAAGGTTCCTCTTGGACCTGGGCTGGACCTCATCTGGAGGGTCTGAGCAGCCCAAGGTGTTGGGCGGGCAACTGCCCAGCAGGGTATCCAAAGAACCCCATTCTAGACATTGGATTTAGGGGCTGAGTTGAGGGGGATCTCCTTGAGCTCCGTCCGCATGCACAGGTACTCCCCGATGACAGCCATGAGCGCAATGCACACGGCTTGGACCAGCCACCAGGTCAGCGCCGAGGGGAAACGGGAGCTGTAGAACCAGCAGCCCAGGAGGTGAAAGAAATGGACAGTGACAGTGAAGTCCAGACACTGCTTCCCTCGCCGGATGAAGTACAGCAAGCCCAGGGCACTGTGGGGAGAGCGCAGCGGTGAGTCGTCACTGGGTTGTCCTGGCCTTAGCTTAGCTTATCTGGGGAAGAGGGGCCATTAGGACAGCAGCACAGAGATTAGAAGCAGGCAAGATAAGCGTGAGGCAAGCGGTGCATTATTAGACGCCTGCAGGAACACGGCAGGTAACCCTGAGAGTGAGTCAGACTAGGAAGAAAAACAAAAGTATGGGCTTGGCGATAAATGGCAACTGTTGCTCGAGGGAACTGGTGGGGAGTGGGGTGCCCTGAAGCACACATGTTCCATCGAAAGCGGGGACAAGAGCTACTTGCAGCGGGGTAAATCATGATGCTAGAAGTTTCGCCTAGAATCAATCTTCCCATTTTTCAAAAGAAGCCAGAAATCGGAATTTTTTTAATATATAATATCTTGACTTTCAACTAAGTGGAAAAATGTTTTAAACATGCATGTACTAACATATGTGTAAGCCAAACACAACATGTCTGGGAGCCAAATTGGAGTCAGCCCACCAGTTTTCAACCTCCAGTGTACGGTCAAGAGTAGTAATGTGCGCCGTGGACAGGTAGCTCAGTAGGTTAGAGCATTGTCCTGATATGCCAGGTTGCAAGTTCAAACCCTAGTCAGGGCACATACCAGAATCAACCAATGAATGCATAAATAACTGAAACAACAAATCAATGTTTCTCTCTCTCTCTCCCCCTCCCCCTGCCTTCCTCTCTCTCTCTAAAATCAACTAAAAAATAAAAAATAAAAAGAGCAGTAATGTGCAAGGTGGTGTTCTAAGTACTTCCATGAATTAGCTCATTTAATCCTTACAACTATGATAAAGGTAATATCATTAGTCTCATTCTACTGATGAGAAAACTGGGGCTTAGACAGATTAACTTGTCCATAGTCACTAGACTGTGGTACAGCTGAGGTTCAAAGCCAAGTGAGTCTGCCTCCAGAGCCTGAGATCTTAGTCACTATGCTAACCTGCCTCTCAAGAGACATGCAGCGGTAATGAGAGACATTAGAGGTTAGCCAGTCAACCCCTCAGTGTACAGACAAGGAGCCAGAGGCCCAGAGAGGAGGGAGGTGACTCGGTCAATGGTGCACGGACCAAGAATAGAACTCAGTTCTTCCGACCCGCAATCTAATCCTTTCCTCACCTCATTCCGCATCAGGGAAGTGACCTGAGACAGAAGCTGTCTTCCAGGCAGCATGCACAGAGTGACACAAGAGCTTTCCAGCTGAGTCCAAAAGCGACGGAAGGAGCCCTGTGATGGAGCGAGTCCCAGAACTGGCCTCTGCCACCCACTTCAGTCCACCACTCCCCAGGAACGAACGCCAGCCTATCTCAGGGCCACGTGTAGGAGGTTAGTTCCAGCGCTAAGACCCCAAAAGCTGGACAGCAAACTGGTGGTACTCACCAGGTGAGGGCGTTGAGGATGAAGGACATCATGGAGAGCCGGCCTGAAGGGGTGGAAAAGCCCAGGATCTGAGGGGGAATCACAGATGGAAACATGCTGGAGAAGTGAGTTGGTAGAGCCCCGGCTCCAGGACCTCAGCCAGCTTCCCAAGAAACTCTTCCCAGAGCACAGAAGACAATATGCCCCTTCATCTGTGCGGCAGCCTACTGCCAACAACAAGGTGCTTCCACTGACAACCATCCTGGTATCTTATTTGAACCCTCACAGCAGCTGGAAAGGGGTTATTACCCTGTTCTCACAAAGGATGAATAAAAGCTCAGAGAAGTTAAGTACCTTGCCCAACACGAAATAGAAAATAAACAGCAAGAGCAAGGTCTTGAACAGGGTTTAGCAAACTACGGCCCCAGGCACCAGGCACTGACTTTTGTTAATAAAATTTTATTGAAACACAGGCACACTTAGGCATTTACCATTGCCTGTGGCTACTTTTGTGCTACCTGGCAGAGTTGAGTAGCTGTGACTTAAAATCTTCCCTAGCTTGTCCTTTCTAGAGGTTTGCTCACGCCTGGACTAGAGTTCAGGTTGTGTCCGTGAGGTGGCTCTTCAACGAGGCCTACGGTTCCCGCGTGCCTTTCCCAGAAGGACAGAGGCTCCTAAGAGGAGGCTGCTGGGCACCTGTGAGTGCACAACCTCCACCACTCCTGCACAGTACTGCTGAGCACCGAACATCTGCACACCACATTCAGCTTATAGCAGCCTTTGTTATCCATAACCTCCTACTCTCCTCACAACCACCTCACAAAGCTGGTATTGTTGTTGTTACCACTCTTACCTCTTTTTGGATAAAACTTACGCAAGGACTACACAGAGAATAAGCAACAGGAATAAGGATTCCATCTCAGATCTCACGTCTCCAAAACCAGTGCTCACTACTATACACCACGGCTGCCTCTTGGATACAAACACCTCTTAGGCTTCCATTACACTTTGTAAAGTACTTTCCTATTCCTAGGCCCCTTTGGGCCTCATAACATTTTGCTGAGGGTTACTGTCAGGTTTCCAGGAGAGGAAACAGGCTCAGAAAGGAAGGTGAAGCAACTTGCCCAAAGTCCTACAGCTAGTGTGTGTGGGCCTAGATTGAATACTTAGCCTTTCTGAATTGAAAGTACAGGCTCTTGCCCTGGCTGGTGTGGCTCAGTGGATTGAGCACCAGCCTGAGAACCAAAAGGTTGCCAGTTTGATTCCCGGTCAGAGCACGTTCCTGGGTTGCGGGCCAGGTACCCAGTTGGGGGCACATGAGAGGCAACTGATTGATGCATCCCTCACACATCAATGTTTCTCTCCTTCTCTTTCTCCCTCCCTTCCTCTCTCTCTAAAAATAAATAAATACAATCTTTTTAAAAAGAATAAGTGTAGCCTCTTTGTACTGCAGTCCACAATCTCTCTGCTACTGGTCTCGTGATTTTGCAAACAGAAGAGCTGAGGTTCAGAAACTTGATGGTACTTGCCCCGGGTCAAAGAGCTAGTGAGTGGAACTTACACGTAGGCCTGACTTTAAAGTCCAGAGTTCCTATCACACCTCCTGGAATACTCTTTTATCCATCCCCCGCCCCAATTTGCCACCTGAGAATCTTGGGGCTCCGAGAAATGAAGTCACTTTCCTGAGTGTCAGAGAGATGTGTCAGGTTGCCTGGACCACTGCCTTGTTACAACATCCCTGCCCCTTTCCTTGTACTGTGAATCAGCCTCTCTGTTATCAGCCATTCCACCTTACAGATGAGGCAGCTGAGGCTCAGCACGGCGAGATCCCTTCCCCAGGCTCACAAAGCTAGAAGGTGGCCCCGCCGGGTCTACAGCCCAGTAGTGTCGGACAACAAAGCCCACCCCGTAAAGCCGAGATCCGCCCGCGCCAGCCCGAAGACCCCACCTCGGCGTCGAACACTTGGTCCAGCGAGGGGCTGCTGCGCAGCAGCCCGTCCACCAGCGCCAGCCACAGGCCCAGAGAGCCGTAATAGACGTTCTGCATGAGGACGATCTGCGACAGGATCAGCAACGGGTCCCACACGTAGCTGCGGAACTGGCCCGCCATGCCGGCCAGAGCGACCCGGCCTCGGTCCGGGGCTTGAGTCAGCGCCGGAGCGCCATGGGCTCCAGGACTCCCCGGCACCTGCGAGGACACATGCCGGGCCTCAGCCAGCGGGCCGTCACCATGGCAACACCTCCCAGCCCGGGAGGAGGGAATGGGATGGAGGGGGCGAGCCCATTCCGGGAGCGAGGGGAGGGCGGGGCGGGCAGACCCATTCCAGTGTGGGGAAATCCTGCCTCCCCAGCTGCTCCGGCCCTGCCCGTACTCACGGTTCCATGAGATCCACTCACCGGTGACCAACTCGAGGATCGAAGCGTCCGAACGCGGCCCAGTCTCACCGGCCGACCCCCGAAACAATCTTGACAGACAGGATCATGGAGGAGAGTCCGTACCGGCCTAGAGAGGCAAAGCTCCAGCGACCCCGGCAGCTGTAGCGGCTGCGAAGGAAGGAAGCATTTCCGGGGACGGCGGTGGAGGGGCGGGGCTAAGGTTGCGCAGGCGCGGTGGGTACAAACTTCGCCCGATCCCTTGAACGAGCGTAGGCGGTGGCCGGGAAGCGAGGTGCGCACATGCGTAAAATGAGGAATGAAGGTGTTCGGAAGTGAGGCACAAGAACGGTAGAGCTTGCGTGCCCTCTAGAGGGGAATTTTGAAAAAAAAAGAGCCACTAGGGAAGAAAGAAGTTAAGGACGAGGAAATGTTGACCCTCTTTAGAAAAGCTTTCCAGCATTTTCTTTCTCCTGAAGTCTGAGATACTTGAAATGAGTCTATCAGAATTCTTCCACATGTGAGGTTACCACTGATCGCGTTTCACAGATGATTAAAATAAGGGTCAGAGAAAGAGAGCAACAGACTGTCTCAAAAACAAAAGAGATAGTGGCAGTCTGAATTTGAATTAAAGTGATGCCAACACCACAGCATGGATTTTGTACCCACTGGGCGCCAGGAACGTTTGGACTCATGCTAAAGAGAGTCCCTGCCCTCAGACAAAACCTAACAAGAAGGCCGAATAGTAGGTGTTTTATTGTGTATCCATACAGTATATTTATAGTGGGGGTTGGCGACGCACAGGTTCAAAAGCCCTGAAGGACCGGGGCGCAGATCCTGACTCTGCTTGCCGCCATGACTTTCCTCTCAGCCTTCTCTTGAGTCCAAGTCGTGTGGACAGTCTGTAAATATTTGCTGAATGAGTCAAGAACAGAGAAAGGGCAACAGCAAACCGATGAGTCACTGTATTTCTGCACCAGCAGTCCAAAACCTCTCAACTTCATTGATAATAGGTTCCCTCTCGTCCCAATGGACAAAAGGGAAGTGACCAGTTCCAGGAAAGGAAACTGGGTTTCCAGCTAGCTCTACCAGCTGCGTGACCAGCGAGCCACTTCCTTCTTCAACCTCAGCTTCCCTGTTTATGAAATGGGCAGTGAGACAAAATTAATGTTTTCCAACACTTAATCTACTCTCCACTAATTATTTTTCCATTAAAAAAAAGTATCATGTAACTACCAGTCAGAACTTCTGAACAGTATGTGATAACCATATTATCACCTTGGGTTGATACAATTACAGAAAAAAATAAAGAACCTTGAGACTTTATCAGGAATAAGTATGTGATTTCCCTTATCATTTGGAGATACTGTAAACAGTCCACTTGGACTCCAGTTTGGAAGTCATTAAGGCCCAAAGATTTCTGACATGTTTTCCAGCTCAACCATTCTCTTAAGTGCCTCAATTCAGTTAAATAAATACAAGGGTGAGCAAAAGTAGGTTAATAGTAATAAATAATACAATAATCAATGAGTGATAATACAAGAATAAACTGTGTTCCACAAACTCACAACTCTGTAGACTTACTTTTGCCCACCCTGTATGTATTCAAATTCCTCTGGTCCTTAATTATATGATCTAGTGTTTCCGAGGAAACGTGATCTTTTTCATCCTTCACATCCAAGAAGATAGATACCATCCTCCTTTTTAGAAGTGGAAACTGAGCCCTGGGAGGGTAGCTAATTGGTTGGAGCGTCGTACGGATACACCAATGAATGCATAAAGAAGTGGAACAACAAATTGATCTCTCTCTTTCCTGTCTCTCCCTCTCTCTCCCTTCCTCTTTCTTTAAAATCAATAAATAAAATTTTTTTTAAAAAAAGGTATAGTTTCAAAGTGAGGGTCGGGGGTGGGGAGCAGTGGTGCTGCCTAGGACAGAGAGCTCGTAGGAAGCTGAGCTGGGATTCAAACCCAGGACTTCTGACTCCAAACACCAAGATACTATTCCAGGAGAGAGAGAGACAGAGGAGGAAAATGGTGGAATAAGTGGAGGAGCTGTGAGGAAGTAGAAAGGAGCAGTGAAGCCCTCAGCTCAAGGAGCTCTGGCTACTTGAGGGATTAAGGGTGGTAGGAGGAGAGGCCTGGGAAAAGGGCTTGAGAGGCTTAACTTAGTTCCTGAAAGCAGTTTCTCTCGTCTTCCTCCCAGGTGTTGGACTGTGTGTCCCTTCCTGAGGCTGTGCCCCTTGACGTCATCTTGGGCCCTCTCCACCCCATCTCCTCCTACAAAGGGAGGGCTCTCCCGACCCATCCCTTCTCCTGAAAAGCAAAATGCAGGGAGCTGGGGCCTGAGGCGTTGGGGCTGGCCAGATAGCTGGTGCTGGTATCTGATGTCCTCCTTAGAGCCTGGAATCAACCTCTGGGAAACCCCCTGGGGCCAGCAGGGCAGCCTGTTGCGCTTTCCTTTTCCCTGGAGGAATTCAGCTCTTGCATTCCTACCATTTCTAGCCCCAGAAATGGGCACCATCCTGTGTCTTAATTCACGCACAACAAGGAAACCAAGGACTGGGGAAAACCACAGTAACTCCCTTGGCCAACCTCCTTGGCCCGTTTTTCTTTTTTTATCCTCGCCTGAGGACAAGCTCACTGATTTTAGAGAGAGGAGAAGGGATGGGGAGAGAGAGGGAGAGAAACATCAATTGGCTGCCTACTTTCTTGTATATGCCTTGATCAAGACAGAACCTTGAACCTAGGCATGTGCCCTGATTGGGAATCAAACCCATGACCTTTTGGGTTACAGGATGATGCTCCAACCAACTGTGGCACACCCGACCAGGGCCTCCTTGGTCTATTTTAAGAGTTTGACCACAGGCAGCCTGAAGAAGAATGAGTTGTGAGTTCAGACCACAAAACCTGAGCTAGGACTGCACTGACTTGTCGTATTACCTTAGGCAAGTCCCACACTGGTTCTTACTATGAAGCGGCTGTGAAATGAAAGAGGGACAATAAACTAAACTTTGAAATGCAGTCTATGGCCCTGTTCCATCTGAATCACCTGAAAAAATATCCTATAGTCAGATTCCCAGACCTTTTTGCAACCCGAAGTCTGAATCTCCAGAAGCAGAATGCAGAAATCTGTGTATTTAAAGTGTTCTCCACCCCAACTGGTGCGGTTCAGCTGGCTGAGTATTGTTCTGCAAAGCAAAAGACCACTGGTTCAATCCCTGGTCAGGGCACATGCCTGGATTGCAGGTTCGGTCCAGTAGAGGCGTATGTGAGAGGTAACAGCCAATCGATGTTTCTCTCCCACATCACAAGTTTCTTTCCCTCTCTTTCTCCCTCCCTTCCCCTCTCTCTAAAAATAAATAAATAAAATTTTAAATAAGAACAACAAGAAAGCTCCCCAAGTGTCATCTGGCTGCTGTGGCTCAGCTGGTTGAGCACAGAGGTTCGATTCCCAGTCGGGGCACATGCCTAGGTTTTGTGGTTCGATCTCTGATCAGTCCCAGTTGGGCACGTAGGAGAGAGAGATAATCCATCAATATTTCTCTCCCCTCTCCCCCCACTCCCTTCCCCCCCCCCTTTAAAAACAATGAAAACAGTTCAATGAAACAGTTTCCTTGGATGAGGATTTAAACAAAATTTTTTTAAATAAATAAAGAGCTGCCCAAGTGATTCAGAAGTACAGCTATATTTGGTAATTACAGAACAAGATGATCTGTAATTGACTTCAAACCAACTCCTCCTCTTAACAGAGAATCGCTCTGTGACCTTGCCTCGTGCATGCCCTTCTTTGGACCTCAGGCTTTTGTTTATTTGTTTGTTTTTTTATCTGTAATATGAGGGGGTTGGACTAGAAGAGCTGATCTCCAAGGGCCTTTCTCCTGCAGCCAAGTTTGTGGTTCCAAACTTATGAATGAAATTTTAAACTTTAGGTCAGAGGCAGAATGACAAACAGCCACAAGCTGGGGACAAACTGTCCCCCGGGTGCAGAGGAAGGGAGTGCCTCTGATCACTTGGCCAGTTACATCACTCCCACACTGGGCCCCCACTCTGGGCAAGTAAGAACAACTGCTGCTGGTTGCTTTTCAGATCCGCCCCCACATTCCCTCAGTAAATGTCCTCATACAGGTCTAAGGGCTTTGGAGCCCTGCTTGTATTCGAATCCTGGCTCTACTACTGTCTTACTGGGTGACCTTGGGGGAGTTACGTCATCTTTCTGAGTCTCAGTTTTCTCCTCAATAAAATGAGGATCAGAACAGTACCCCTGTCATGGGCTGTCCTGGGGGGTCAAATGTGTGCTTACTCCACTGCCTGATATGTAGTCAGCATTATGTAAGTATTAGCAATATTGCCCTGACCAGTGCTGCTCAGTTGGTTGGGCATCATCCCGCAAAGCGAAAGGTCACCAATTCGATCGCCGGTCAGGGCATGTGCCTGGGTTGCTGGTTCGGGCCCCAACAGGGGCACATATGAGAAGCAACCAATCAATGGTTTTCTTTCACATCTATATTTCTCTCCCTCTCTTTCTCCCTCCCTTCCCCTCTCTCTAAAAATAAACAAATAAAAACTTTTTAAAAATAAAAATAAATGTTAGGGATATTCATTATTGTTATTTTTCTTCTCTTGGAATGTGGGGGCAGCCATACCTGATCTCTCAGGTTTATGGCAAGGATCTAGGCAGACGTCAGAGTGAGCCCAGTGCCTGGCACAGTAGGAGCTCAGTGAATGTGGTACCCTCCTCCCAATCCCACCCCGCCCCCGAGCTTCCCTGGCTCTCTGCCTTCCACCCTTCTTTCTCCTCTGGGCTGCCACACAGCCCTGCTTACGTGACCCCTTTCAAGGAACGTTTTGTGAAAACATTTCAGGGAGACACGTGTCTTGGGGACAGGTCATAAACTCTGCGTCACACTTTTTGGAAACTCCATGTGGGAGGCTCGTGTTTGGCTGCCTGTCCTCCGCGTCAGTGGCCATCCTGGCCTCGGGCCAGCACGTTCCTCTCTTACAGGGGAAACTGGAGAGAGAGGAGGGAGGGCTCATGGCCTGCCTGCTTTCTCCCCCAGACTAAGGGCCCTTTATTACCTGGGCTGTTTTGTTTTGTTTAAAGATATTTATTTTTAGAGAGAGGGGAAGGGAGGGAGAAAGAGAGAGAAAGAAACATCATTGTGTGAGAGAGAAATGGTTGCCCCTCGCGCACCCCCAACTGGGGACCTG